ATAAGAAGAGAGCCTTGGCCATGTGTCAGTTGAGCATTTTTACATTAGCCATACGTAAGGCATTTCTTTCTTCCTCTACTATTCGCCGCTCAAAGCACCAGGGCCACGGCCATGTGTGAATAATCACACAGAGGGCCTCAGAGGTGCCCTCGCCGCCTTACAAGAGGCTGGGTGCAAGGGCAGATGGGGGAGGCGCAGGTTGAAGGAGTCGAGAGATGGGGAGGGAGGGGGGGTCGTAAACGTTAACACGTTGAGGATTTGGATATCCTCACAAGCTTGTCTCATTAGCTGCTAATTGGCAAGACTTTCCCCCATCTTTTGTTCTGCATAACGTTTGTCTTTTTTTGGGGGGGTGGGGGGGGTGGGGGGTGGTATGGGGGGTGAGGTGGATGGAGGCAGAGGAGGAGGATGGTGAACATATACTACATATTTCAAGTGTTCACTGAGAGAGAGTTACGCCCATATTACAGCAACATAAACACTTCTGTCCTACGATTAACCTTAAAAAGCAACTGAGTGCAAAACTACAGGCCCAACCTGCTCAACCACATTAGCACAGAGATCAAGGGGGAGAGCGAGATAGAGAAAAACAGAGAGAAAAATGAGTGAGAGAGAGGGCAAGAAGCAAGGACAGGGGTTATTTTTCCCCGTTCCCTTTTTCCACTCATTCACCTTTCCCAACTGGGAAATTGTAGAAAAACATCAACACAGCTAAACAGCAAATTATTACCAAAGCTCCCCTTGGTGCTGGGTCCAAAGCAGACATATTGGAGTTGTCATGCAGGGGGATGGCCAATACTTTCCGAGAATTATTCTGAGTATTGCGCTCTTTGACAAACATTAAACAAGACAATAAAATACATAGGTGAAGGTGTATTTGCCTACAGGCATGGATGGCTTGAAAGAAAGACAGGAAAAAAGAGAAAATGAGAAAATAGGTCTCCATATTAACAACATAGTTTCCTGACAGTCCAAGTGAATTATACATTTACAGAAGTAGCCACTCAAGTCGGCATGAACCCTATCCTCAAGGCAGAACCTGGCCATGACTGGTGATTTGAAAGGGAGAGTCATGTGTGCACCTTCAGGATTTTTTTTCTGCCATTGTGACTGTCTGCGTGTGTCTCCATCTGTCTCTCTGTGCCTATATCTCTCTCACACTTTTTCTATCCCTTTGATTCTACAGAGATGTAACTGTGCCCTGAATGCCAATAAGGATCAGGTAGATGGCAGGTCAATTGTCCATTCCTGTTACTTTAGAGGGTTTTATTTTTTTCTAAAAGGTATTGGATTTCAGGACGGAGTAATTCAGAGCAAACTATGCCTGCTGTAATCTATTTTAATGGACATCATTAAACTGAATAGACAGAACTATGTGTCTCTCCATGTTTGCAGAAGGATTTTTATGATGAGTTGAAGAATGGAGGATGTATCAATACTTGCTTTTACTGACGAGTGGTATAATATTAAGCACTTTAAAAATTCCAGACTGTGTTCTTTATTACCAACAGGTGCATGATGTCATTACAGTACCACAATTTATTTCTTTAAGTTGTTTTAGGTTGAGGAAGGAACTATGTGTTCACAGCTGAGGAATGAGAGGAGCATCTGAAGAATGCTTAACTCATAAATGGTGCAATGCTGACCAACAGCATCCAGAGGGACACACTGGAAAAACAGCGCAAAAAAGTAACATGATGGTTACAATTACAGTGAGAGTGAGGGCTCTGTTTTATGTTAAGAGAGTTGTCAGAGAGGAAGAGAGGGTTAGGAAGCTGGGTCATAGCCCTCATATGCTGTTTAACACCTGACACCAAGGCCTAACCAAGGTTCATAACTCATATGGAAAGAGAGGTGAAGAAAAAACAAGGACGGGGATATAAAACAAAAGAATAACCTAAGCCCCCCAGCTCAGTCCTTCGCCAGTCCTTTATTCGGGTTAGCTCACTGACTCTCAAACACCTCCTGTCATAACTGTGTGCAATCTAAGAAATAAAAACTTAAGAATCGTAATATATTAAAGATCGTTTAGTCTTTGCTCACAACATTCAAGGACCTAAATCAAAGTAGCCATGTCTGACCAAAGACATCTGATTTCTAATACTCCATGGGACCCACAAGAGCAAGGCCTCCTATAGAAAATCAGGGTAGGTCACAAACGGCCAGCGCATGAGTCCTTGGCTTCATCCAACATCCAGCAGATCAAGGGCCTCGAACTAAAGCAGTACTGACACTGACCTCACTGAGACCCAGCAACTGAAACAGCCCTAACAAGGTATTAGCAGGCACCTCTGTATACCCTCCAACTCTCAGCCCAGGTCTAAAGAAACACAGCTGCACAGGGTGTTTTCCAGGGCGGAGGGCAAACCTGCAAGCAACGTGGTGCCCCTGGCTAAGCTCAAGGGTGCAGCTGGAAGGTCAAGAATTCAAAGCAACGGGGGGCAAAGTTTACTGAGATTATTTTTAACTGCAATTTCTCTCTCCGACATAACCCATATATTCCACTTAATTTTTTAGATATAAAAATATATTAACATCATCATCAGGTAATGATGCCTTTTTTAAAATCATATCTGTTTAATGCATACACTATAAATATATGCATTTCCCGTTGTAATTGGTATGAGTTTAGTTTGCCCTCTAAGAATGTGGTATATTGTGTGTGTTTTTGTGTGTATGCATGTGCAAGCACGTATGGCGGTCGTCTCTGTGTGACTGTGGGCGTCTGGAGGAGAGAGAAGCCTCATCTGTTACCAGCCCAGCCCGGCCGGCCCACCGCGTGAAGTAGAACGACAGGGTGTCACCGCCGACGACAGTGATGGATGCCCTAAATTCTGTAGGCAACTTGGGCAATTGGACACATTAACAACAGGCACCTGCTTTCCCCCGTACAAATCTATTAAAAGATAACAGCAATGGCGGCTCCCACACTATTAGTAAATTATAGCTCTGTCTGAGTGTGAGGTAAGTGTGGGCCTCCCTTCTCCCACCTACCCCCACCAGTCTCCTCTACTACACTGTCTTATTGACAGTCTAATAGTGCCACCTAGTGGCAGCCATTTATAATGCTTTTCTTAATTGTGAACAATATTTGAACATGGACAAAAAAGTCAACAGGAGACTAAGTTCACTCAAAGGTAATCATTCCACTGTTATCTGAGGTTTTACAGTCTTATTTCTACAGTCTATAATTTGCATTAACTTAACATATGCGTGTGTGTGTGTGTATATATATATATATATATACACACACACACACACACACATATATGAAAATAAGTTCCATAATAACCAAATTATCATAATTTCAAAATGCTATTATTCATTGTCACATTAACTGTGCAATCTGAACACAAATATAAACCTACACCAAACATATAATATTAATGCGAGTTTGCCATGACAACGAGCCCTAAGGCTGCAGTCTCATTTATGGTTGGTTGGTGATAATCGCTGGGGTGACAACCTTTAATCAGTTAACGATTTATTTTGGTCTGTGAATGTTGTATGTGTGATAGATAAAAAGTGTGTGTGCCTGTGTGTGACACAAGTTGTTCTATATCCTTTTGTGCACCCTATGACTTTTTCTTGCAAGCTAATTTTCAATAAACAAGCCATTCCTTGGGCTGGCTGAGCCAAATGGCCAGAGATCTGAGACAATGTGGCCGACATAAAACCATTATGACCTACTCAAGACCTCCTCTATTAAAACATTAACAGCAGACCAGTACTCTCAACATGACACTATTATGACACATGTTGGACTAGAGCTCAGGTACGCCACATAAACGTGTGTCACATAAATTTGCTGTGGGTAAATATTTCTGTGTCTGCGAGGGGGGTATGTGTTTGCGAGCTGGCCAAGAATAAAGGGAGGACAAGACCAGTAAATACTTTTACAGCAGGCAATTTGTCAGGATGTGTAAATGTCTCCAATTCCCAACAGCACTGGAGTAAAATTTACAGTCACTCGGAAAGTGACAATGCACAAAAAAGGACCACTTTTTACTCTCTCTCATCTCCCTCAGACCACTAAAACCTTCCCATAAATCTCCTCCGGTCCCCCCAGATGTCTGCTGTTGTCAGATATCATGCCTTGACAATGCCTTCCACCATCATTGTCTTGACAGAAATATGATATGTGAAACTGCAATGTCACATCACTTAACATGATTTAGCCTAAGCTAGCCTGCACCATTTTAATCAATCAAGAATGTCACCTTTTTAGCTGTAATGATGGTAGAGGTATAGGATCCCTGTGTTGGGGTGATCTATAAGACTTATCTAGGCTTCTGATTTATGACTACTGCCAGCTAATGTACTAAAGGAGCCTCCGCCCTTCCTGTCATCAGGGTTTCTATCAAATTGGCAAATAAGTAGGCCAGTATTACCTCATGGGCAGGGAGGAAGACACTTCATGTTGTGTGTAAACCCTACGTATGTGACATTAGGTGCCTTTGAAACCTATACTGAATATCCCTTTTACTGCACCATCAGATAATCTATTTTCCAGGTCCTGTACTGTATATGCACTCCATACACTCATGGCTCTGCAACGTAGTTCAGACAAACATGTCCATCAAATGTCAGACAGTATGTATGACAGTTGCTAATGGATTCCATAGGCTTGGATGCTTCTATCAGCCAATTGTTCTGTAAATGTTCTAAAGCCTCAATGGATAGCCGCGCCTTTCACCAGATCATCAGAGTATTAAAGGTATATCAGACTGGCTTGTCCCAATGACGGCAAGACCTATCAGACATAACAATACAATTACCAAAACATATGACAACTATGTGTCTGACGATGCATTATAGAACAACAACTATGTGTACAACAACCTAACACACACACACACACAAATCACGCTTACTACTCAAAAATTCAAATGTAAAGCATTAACTCATACCGACATAGCGAATGGCATTTTACCGTCGGTGAATGCCACAGTGTGCAATACAAGACACCAAACAGTATACAAAGGAACTTGGACCTGTACCTGTAACCACAATGGAGTGACTCGATCCACACGCCAGTAGCTTCACTCTGCCCAGCCGTGCCTTTGTGAACTCTCGCAGATGGGCCTCCTCTGGATTGATCTCCCCTGGCCTGCCATGTCCACTCTGGCCAAGTTCCCCACTACCCCAGCAAAGCAGATTCATACCCAACTCACACTGCATGTCCTGGGAAGACAGACAGAGAGATCTGTTTTAGCAACACAGGAAAACTAAAGAAAGTGTGCTTGGTACTTTTTCAAATTTATTTTATTTATTAACAAGATGTGCGCACACATGTGTCATCATATTTCTCTCAGGTTAAAACCAGAGTTTCTGACCTGAACAGGTATTTATATAGTAGGAGTTTTTCATCACCTACATTTACACCCCACACGCCAATAAACACATGAAATATATTTTTAGATGCTCATGAGATACTGGAGTCATAATTGGCCACTAGTGTACGAAAGATGTGGTCCCACATACAGGATATGAAAAATAGTGGAAATAGTGTTAGCTGCTTACAGCCACTGCTCTTCTGGTGAGCATTATTAAGCTTGCATAAAAAACAATCTGAATTTCCCAGCATTTTTTGTAATGAACTGTGGATCTGATGCAGATCAACACTATTCTCCTCAACATGTTTATTTACAATCTGCCCTCTGCGCTAATTAGAATGTGACCCTGCACACACATAGACGCTGGATGTATGTGCATGCATACACACACGCACACGCACACACACACACACACACCCCACAGCAATATTACCAGCACAATTCCATCCGACTGCTATTGGAATTTTCCGAAAGAGCAAACCAATAGATAACCTATTACAAAACTATAAGAGATCGATAGCTAATTTCTTTGCATTGATTACCACTTGGACATTTAACATGCGCCCTGTGGCCACAATGTGTGTTCCGCAAGCTTAGATCCCCATTGGCCCTCATGAGTATTAAAATTATCGATTCAGACAGAGGACTAAAAATGTCAAGCTGTTCATTAATCTTAATAAAGACTGGACTTGACCAAGGCACCCTTTTTCCCAATGCAGGGATACAACCTATCCAACTAAGGGCATACACACGGCATAGATTAATGAGCTTCTACTGAGGGATGTGATTTAAGTCTTTGCCATTAATAGATCAATTACAAAAGAACAAGTATTTTGTAATAGTACTTACTTTCACCTAGTGTGCAGCTCGACGCAACATTTTAAAATTCATATTGACTGTCCAATAGTAGTTATTTGCGGAGAAATTTCAAAGAAACTTCACAAAACAAGCAGCGCTGCAGTAATGAGGTCTTTGTGTGAGATGAAGCTGCATCTGTTGTTATGCTACAGATGGCCCTCCGCAGTCCATAATGGACAAATGTTATCAGGCGCAGCCTAACATCCACTTTCATCTCTGTCTTATGTAGATGAGTTTCAAAGCATGCAAGGCTGTCCTTAGCTTAATGAGGGCCCTAAGCAGGATTTGATTTGCTCACTTTTCTTACTTTTAATTACTTTCATATTTCTGCCACACTTACTCATATGTTTCCTGCTCACATCTGATTGGCAGTTAAGCCGTTGCCATGATTTGCAACCTGCATCCACTAGTCACGGTAGGGCTGAGCAATATATCAATATCATATTAATATCACCATATTAGATATCATCTTAGATTTTGGATATTGCAATATCTTGAGTGTTTTCTGTTCTTGTTTTTAAAGGCTGCACAACAGTACAGTGATGTAATTTTCTGAATTAACAACACTTTTCTAGCTGTTATACTACATGCAATTATCCACCGAGTCATCATATCCACGAGTGATGATTATTTATCAAAAAAAAATAAATTCAGTGTTATTATTTTGTGGAAGCACCAATATTCAACCCGACAACATCGTTGCAACATTGATATTTAAGTATTTGATCAATATATCATATTTGATTTTCTCCATAATGCCCTGCCCTTAATTTCATTTCATTTCATTTATTTATTTGTTCCAACCTGGACAAAGTACAACAACAGTGCAACCCTCAATTTACACCCTCCTTGGTCAGAAAGGAGCAGGAAGAAGAAAACTTATTATACCTGCCCCCTACTCTAAGCTAATATAATGAATGTGAGTGATGACAACAACTCAATGAATATGCATGATGTCATCATCAGTGATGATGTCACCAGTACTATAACACAATTAATCACAGAAAATAAAATAAATAATGAAAAGGTGGGAAACATTTTAAATGTGTAATTTACCGACAGCTTCATACTGACTGATTATTCTGTCTTTATACATTTTTTTAAACTGAAAAATATTTAAACAACCCTTTAAATCATTTGGTAAAGAATTCCATAATTTAATGCCGATAACTGAGACACACATCTTCAAGGTGGTCCGTGTCAATTGATGTTTAAAATTATATTTTCTTCTGTGATCCTGATCCATAGAACTAAAAACAAACAACTTTTGCAAGTTTTTTCGCAGCACTTTGTTTTTTGCTTTGAACAAAACTATTACTGTCTGTAATTCGACAAGCTCTTTGAATTTGATTAATCCTGATTTGATAAACAGTTTATTTGTATGTTCACTTGAGCGTACGTTATGAATTATCCTAATTGCTCTTTTCTGTAAAATAAACAAAGGTTTTATATTAATCATATATGTGTTGCCCCACACTTCCACACCATAATTAAAATAAGGCAAAATAATAGAACAGTACAAAATACGCATTGCTTTTAGGTCCAACACATACTTTGCTTTGTTCAAAACAGAAATATTCCTAGACAACTTTGTTTTAACATAAGCTATGTGAGATTTCCATGTCAACTTATAACTTAATCAGGGAGATAGGTACCAGTTAAGCTGAAATAAACACAATAAAACAATAAAAACATCTCATTTACATGATTACTTTAAAAAAAAAAACACCCTCTGACCATATTTTGTGTAAGAAAAATCAAAAGGAACACCACAAATCTTGCCACTTGTGGGTGTTATTTCTTGCTGCCCTGGACATATGGCTTTACAGGAAAAAAAAAACATTTTATGGATTTTACAGAAGAAATTGTTTTGTTTTGCTTTCTGCAGAACTTGGAGTTTGTTTTTTTGTACTGTTCATTGCAGATAAAGGCTATCTTCTGTGAGTTTTGAATGTTACAGGCTAGGCCCAATTCTTAAATAGGTATTTTAAATCTATCTGGAAAAATAAAGAGTTTGCTGGAGTTCATGATATACAGTATAATTTCCTTTCAATCAGGCTTTACCAACAGAAACATGAGCCATAACTATGAAACAAAACAAAGCTGGTCTAAGGAAAATTGTACAGAAAATACATCTAGGGAAAAAAATCAAACATCATGACATCTTTGACTAAATACCTCAATATCAGTGTTGACAGATATTGTATGGTTGACTTTTGGCATTTTTTTACAAAATATGATGAGATGACAAATAATCAGCAAAAAAGTGGATAATGACTAGTGGGTAGAGGCAAATAATAAAATTACTAGAACAGTCTGATAAGTTCAGACAAAATATTCATAATCTTAGCTTTTATCTTATCTCATATCACAATAGATACAATATTGACATATTACCCAGCCCTATTTAGACATGTCCAACTGACAAAGGGAACTTTTGGACTTAAATCAATAATAAGGAATAAAAAGCTTCCTGTCTCAATATGTACTTTAAATAACACAGATTCACACTTGACAAGCATTTATAATCACTTTAGGCAACCATACCTTCATATATTTTTACACCACAACAGATTTTCTGGTCAGAAGTTGTTTTTGTTTGTCCACTAAAAAATGAGGTAAAGAGTTGGAATCTTACTTGTTGTAATTATATCACCAAGAAATAAAAGACTAAGAGCAGATTGTGAAGACCAGTATCTGTTTGTAACTCTGAATACCAACACACACAACATCAAAGACAAAAAAGGCAGAAACACTTGGCAGCATAGCACTACAAGGAACTAACCTGAGCCAATGTTGAAGAGCAAGAACTTTTCATTTCCTGTCTTCTTATACTATGCTAACTTTTCTCTATTGATACTTCTGTTATTGGTCCCTTTTTTCCACACAGTGGTTGCATTAGGTTGTCTTGTGGCCCTGCCTTAATCCCCCCCTTCCTTCATTGCACTCACAATATTGGCAGGGTTACTGTCTCCATGGCAGCTTCTGTTGACAGCATACCAGCTGATTGAGATTAACCTATTACCATCTAAACTGGGGCAAAGTTTGAGAGTCGCAAGAGGTATTTCAGAAAGGGACTAGCAGACACACAACATTATGATGGCAAATTCAGTAGTATTGAACTGGATTTGAGACTTTAACCATAGACAGTGAACAGAGGGCTGAGTCTGTGAACTCCTACAGTGGTTGTCTGCAGCCATAAGGTCAATAGAGAAGTAAAGCTGTGTCTCAAATCCATAATACAAACTCAATTCTATAGCGGCCATGTCCAAAGTTCAGCCTGGGGGCCAATTTTAACCAGCCCTTGTCTTGTCTTGTCTTGTCTTCCACAGTATGCTAGCCTATATGATTAACACAATGTTGTTTAATAAAGATCACTGCATTTTCAATTCTAATCAATTCAAATCAAATAAAATTAGGCTTAAATTGTCATCTCACCAAACACACAACAGTAATCCAAGTAAAACAAAATAGTGTTTGCTGGGGTCGTTCCAACACTATTTTAATAAATACTAATACCATCAAAATTGGACATCAATAACGTTACAAAAAAACTAATCCAAATGAAACTATCCAGCAATAAATCACAAACTAAAAGTCCATATGACACTCACACATCAGCAGTGACCATTTAGATACCGGGATACCAAGATGGTGTCTATATGCCATTAAAGTTTTCTAGCTTCCGGGTTTCCTTCTTCGGTCCAGTGAATTTGCGCACACCCACTGGTCCCGCTCGGCTCATAGACTTAACATTGTGATGACGTCACGGATATTTAAATCGTTTTTCTCGGCTTGAGGAAAAGTTTCACAAATATAAAAGCGCCATGGCTCAAAAATTCAGGATAGACAGATTCACAGTTGACCTTGTTTGCCGTTCGAGGTGTCCTGTCAACAGGTAGGAGATTTTTTTAATTTATTTATTTTTGCTGTAATACCGCGAGTGGCCACTGGGGGAAAATGACGTAAGGCAGGCTGAGCTACATGCTATGGCTGCTGAGACATGGGCTGCGTTTAGCCCGGTTTAGCCCTGACAAAACGTAACAAAACGTTTATTTTAACAGAAACTGCGGTGTCTTGGACACCCTGTTGTGTTACGCCTTTTTGTGCGGCGAGGTTTAGCTTAATTCAATTAAATTGGGCTTTATTGATATGGAAAACTTACATTTAACACTGCCAAAGCAAGTGCGCCATAAAAACAAAAATAATACGTACAGTAGTAGGTAAAGATATACATGATATTGCTTTATATACACATCGCTGCCGATTAGGCAACACCTCTGACACACTCACCAAGCGAAAGAAAACATACCTCAAAGCCATAGACTGTATAAAAGCCTGTTGCACACCATTTCACAGTGTTTCATGGAAACCTGTCTATCAACCTGGAAACCGTAGCAACGCGGTGCACACCGTTTTGAAATTGATGCACACGTCCCGCCGTCACGAGGGGTCAAAGGGTACAGATGACCCCGGCCCAAGGCCAAGGGGAAGCCCGTTGAAAAGGTCTAAGGTTGGTGCTTAAATGGGATCAAGTACAACAATTTACTTACTGACTCATATTCCTGACAATGCAAATTATATGTATTATTTCAATACATAAATATATTGCAATCATTAAAACACATTTCAGTGTGCAATCTGATACCCCCACCCCCTGCAAGTACCGTGAAATGGTACGGTCCTTCTAACGTGAGGCGCGGTGCGCAAGTGCTACTGATGTAAAGATGTGAGGCTGACTACTTCCTGGTTAAAAAGAACATTGCCATTTTTCAAAATGGTGTATTTAAATATTTCTGCATACTGGGGTCCCTAAACAGTCTTGGAATTGCGTAACGTGGGTATGACTGGAAAACTGAGAGTTGACAGTCATATACTCCTTAAAGCCTACTATTGAAGTTCTGCACACAATTTGACCACTATTTGGTTGACAAAAATGACAAATTTTCCTTATTTAAAGCAAGGTGTCATGAAGGCCTATGGTACATAAAATATTCATGCAGAGTCTGTCTCATTGGCTAAATAAACACACCATATTTCCACTGTTTTTCTCCCAGTTCTTTTTGAGGTCATATGTCATCTGTTCCAGAAGATGTAAGTGTTCAACAGTATTTATGAAGAGGCTAGCAGTTGGGCAGTTTTCTGGAGGCAGTATTCTGTAATGGCCTTTTTAAAACCTGCCAGCAATATCTTTAATAGAACAGTATAATCTTTACTTCATATTCATCAGGGATGTGTTCAAGATAAAGGGATGATTTTACTTTACTGTAATCATTCATTTGAGGGCATTTTTTGGCCCAGGACACACATATGACCACCTCTGCTTTTCAGAGTAAGAAAATAAGATCTTAACACGGAGTAGATACAAAATACATGTGGAAATTTGATTAATTACATTATATAGCAACTCCAATGGAATGAATAACCGTTCGGTAGGCTATCTAGTTATTATTAAAATCTATGACAAAGAAACATAAAGTCAAGAGCGAGGGCCATGGCTTTTAGAAGCGATGGAAAGTTGAACATATTTTCACTCAAAGATGAAACAGTTGTGTTTGTGTGATTTGTATCAGTTTTTTCCAATAATCCATACGAAGCAGCTGACCCCCAGGGTATTTTCGCATTTTCTCATCTGGCCGCTTTCTAAAAAAATTGGACACCCCTGCCCAATACATAGGTACTAGCTGTCATAGCACACTGTTTTCACAGTTGTATGTTCGGTGTTAAGTCAAAGTCTGTTCTCTTGTTGAACAGTGTTTCCCTCCTGTTAATGTATAGCGCACCCCTCTGTGTTTATGTTTAAGTTTAGGCTTTGGTCCAGGTTTAGGTGGGGGGAAACGAGCATATTAATTTTCTCTGTTTCCTTTTCATTTTGAAGTCCAGAAGATGGGGAGGCCAAGAATGTCCTTCTTGTTTGACTCTGATGGATTTGCAGGTCAAAAAAGAGCTTTATCCTTCTGAGACCTTGTGTCCTCATATGAGGACATCACATTTTGGGTTTACTTGACCTTATACTTCATTCTTCTCAACTTAGACCTGTTGTCCTCGTTCATGGACACTGTTTTTGTGCCATCTGGTGGTAGTAAGAGCACAATACACTAATCCATATACAAACAAGATGGCAGCCATCTCTGCCAAGTCAGTCTGCAACCGATCCCAACACAAAAGTGGACAAGGTCCAAAACCTGATCACATTTATGGTTGAACCTGGTTTATTTGTTATGAAGAATGTTTGTAGTTTGATATGGCAACAAATTTGACCAATTTTATCAACAGTAACAAGTTAAGACACTGTTAATTAGAAATACTAGTTTGACCTTGGGACTTCACTATTGTCTCATCCCAGGACATTGGGACTTATCGCTGACAAAGTTACATTTTTTTAGATTTACCAGGTCCTACTGATCCAAATTAGTTGGAAGCTTATCACACACCCGCATGCTTGTCTTTTAATTGCTAACATTAACTTACCACTAAGAGCAATATCTTCAGATGTAGCATTGTGTTAAAATTAACACAAATTGTGTTAAATTGACATGGGGAAAGCCAACCTCCCTCATAAATAGGGACTGTGCAATATAAATAGGGACTGTGCAATAATGTTTTTATCCCACTGGTTTTATTATATTGCTTTAATCATGCACTTGACACTTAATGTTCCTATTTATTCTTTTTTTTCCCCCCCCTTTTTTTTTTCTTTTCTTCGTGCATTATGTGTATAGGTATGTGTGTATGTTGTGATGTCACTGTGATGAGCCCCCTGTAATTTCGTTGTAGTACTTATACAATGACAATAAAGGCATATTCTATTCTATTCTATTCTAACAGACAAATACATTCTAACTTGCCATCTGATTTAGTCAAATTATGTGGAAATTTAATAATAAATAAATAAATAAATAAATAAATAAATAAATAAATAAAGTGGGTCTTAGTGACTGCAAACAGTTACCTCAAAGTATATGGCTGCTGAAAATAAAACAGGCTAATAAGACTTACATAAGTCTAGAGGCAAATTGACAGGGAGGAGCTTGTGTTTGTCTGGTCCACCACCACCCACCCTAACCCACCGTCTTGTCTGTATCATCTGACATCCGCATAAGGTGGTCCATAACATACCCAGGAACTTACAAATTTCAATTCATTCTGTTAAATATAGATATGAACGTTGTTATGATGTCAGTGGTAAATAAAATGAACAAATCTTTGTTTGTTAAGTTTGTGAATACTATGATGCAGTATTGTATTATTACAACTTTATAAAAACATGGTCCAACAACTGGTGTAAGAAAAATATTATATAATATTGTGTATGATCCAGATACAGTGAAATAAGCCATTCACAGCAGTGGTTACAATTTGTCTTTGATTGTTATGGGAGAAATAACATGCATAAATACTCGGGCTTGTACATGCTGATATATTATGTGTATCACTCAAATAAACATAAAAAATAAATTTAAAAAAATAGGACTTGCATGGTGTGCAATTATGTATACGCACTACACTTACTATTCACTTTTAGTGAATATTCTCACATTCTCGTACTTGTACTGGGTTGAAGAGTTAGTGAAATTAAATTATTTTAAAACTAATACATTCAATAGTTATTTTTTTATCCTGAAAGTTAATGGCAAATTGGTGGAGAAGGCCACCAAAATGGTAATAGCACCTCCACATAAAAACAAACATCCTCCAAATTTTTCACCTAAGAGCAGTTTATTAGTCTCAAATTAGCCATCTTCCAGCCATCTACATGTTTCCCTGTTTGTCCACTAGGGGGCTCCGTGCCATTATTTTTGAATGATTGCAAGGCCCATTTTTGCACAGTGGTCTGCACTTGTTTCCCACGAGCTCGCCGTCTTCCCCTTGTACATACGATGGCAGTAGAGGTCTTTGAGCAGACCTTCATAGGGCGTGTCTTATCCCAGAATCGAAACGCCATGGGAACCCCCACATAACCCACTATGAAAGCGTTTGGAAATGAGCTGGTTCACCGATCATACACTTTTTTTCTTCATTTAACCAGCATAGTCTTCATTTATTTACGACAATGCCTTCAATCCAAAGCTTCACGATGACCTATGACGCACTGAATGAGGAGGGGACGTTCTCGGAGGGAGACACTATTACAGGGAAAATAACACTGGTCCTATTTAAGGCCACCACTGTTGAGAGCCTGTTTGTTAAAGCGAAAGGAGACGCTGACGTGCGTTGGACGAAAAAGAGCGGCGATCACACCAGGACGTACTCTTCACACAGGAGATACTTTAAACTGAAGCAGTTTCTAATCCCAGAGGACTCTCAGGGTAGGCGGTGGACTTGTTAGTTAGGCATGCCTTAACCCTTTCAGTACTAATAAACATGATGTAGGCATTTTTCCTCCCTGAATGTTTGTTTATGTGGGTTTCTCTTCTGTATGTCCAGTGATGGTAATGGCAGGATTAGTCAGTGATGTAAAAAATATCCATGACCATTATTTATAAATATAACAATACCACATAAAAACAAGTTGACACAGACATTCAGATCTAAAAGTTTAGTATAACTGGTCAATTTGGACCTATTTTCTTTTTTAAATGACTCATAACTGAATTGTAGCTCTTAAAATAAAGTAATGTACAATATTGAAATGAAGTGTAGTGGAGTAATACACTGCAATGCTTAGATAAAGTGCAGATGTTACTATCCATCACTGCGTTTAATTGGCTACTAATGGCCAAGACCACTGTTAGTATTAATCCCAAAATCCTTTCTCTTTCAGAGACTGTGGTTCCCAGAGGAACCCATGTCTATAACTTTGTCTTCAACATACCACAAGGGTAAGTACAGTAAGAAGAATGTCAAAACATGTCTGCACTTTCACCATGAAATTGAGTAGATAGCTTTTACTCCTGCACATTCTATCAACTGATTCAGATTGAATACAATGAATCCATTCTCCATTGCAGAAACATGCCATCATCCTTCAAGGGGACTCATGGAAAGATTGTCTACAAGCTGGAAGCCAAACTGTCCAGGAGTTGGAAGATGGACCGCACTGTAGAAAAGGACATCCGTTTTGTCTCCAAGTCCTTTCCAAACCTTCCTGCTCTAATGGTGTGTAAAAAATGAAACGTAACTACAAAAATCTCTGATACTGTATGACAGAAACTACTTGTCCTTATTCCTCAGTTAAGTCTGTGGAGATTACATCTTGTAATGTTTTGCTACAGCAACAATCCTTGTCTTGGACGCAGCAATTCTCATGGGGGGGTAAAGCAGAGAAGAAGGGCACCAAGTAGCTCACCTGGTACAGCAGGCGCCCTATGTACAAAGGCGACGTCCTTGCTGCAGCAGCCTTGGATTTGATTCTGACCTGCGGCCCGTTGCTGCATGTTATCCCCCCTCTCTTCCCCCCTTCGACCACCACTGTCCTGTCAAACAAAGCCCAAAAGAAGAGAACCAGACGATGGAAAATGAAAAATATAGGCATCACTGTTGTCCCAAACCACACTGTAATTATCCCTAGTTATATCAAGCCACACAGATAACTCTGCTTTAAAGTGCTGAAGTTTTGAGATATCCAGCTCTGAAATCGATCCCACCACTGCCGTATAATTTAGGTGATAGGCTTTTTTTAAAAACTGTAACATTTCAAAAGAGCAGTTTTAATAAATAATAATAATGACAACCACTCCATTTAGAGGTGTAACTTCAAGGATCCAGCTATTACACATACTCTGGTACAGTTTTAATTTAACCAAATACATAGATCGGAGCCATCTTTAACAGCATTAGCTCCACATGTGCTTTTCCTGCCATGAGAAGTAAAAACATCTGCTGTAATAAAAAGACTATTAGGGTTTGGATTTCAATTTGTGCTCCTCAAATCCCATTTTAAGAAAACCTCAACAGCAATGTGTCTTTGCAGAGACAATGTTTCAGTTACTTTGGATAATTTACAAACCTCGCTGTGGACAGTTTTCATTGATATTGTTTCTACTGTAGAATGTAGTTCCACTGAAAACTGCTCGCCATGACATGCTGCACGGTAAGCAATAAGATTTAAATGCTAGTGCGGTGATACTTCCTCCTCAGAGGTCTCTTCATCTCCAAAACAACTGGACCACTTAAAAACATTGTGTACGCACAAAACGAGGCCTGAAAGAGGCGTACGCCACTTCCCACTCAAACGTTGTGATCTATAAAAACAGACTTGATGGGAGAAACTTTGACCCGTGCTTATGAACATTTTGGAGATGGAAAACTGACATTTTCAGTCTTTGTCCATACGTACATTTTTAGTATGGATTCTACGCACAGTTTTATAAATGAGACCCAAGGTGATTAAAACTTGTAAAAACACTGGGTAAAGCAGTTTCACGTTAAAAAAAAAAGTGTTTTTCTGATGTTGTTTGTCACATAGGGGCTCCTAGCTATGATGCAAAACTGTGAAGGCTCTATTTGGAGCCAGTGTTTGTAGCTCTAAAGTAACGAAAATGAGATTCTTATTTTCAAGTGATCACACACAAAGGAAATATTATTATTATCTTCCATTTCTACCAATATATCCCCTTAAATCACACACATCAACCTTTTAATCCTCCATTGTCTTAATAATGTAAGTGGATCAAAAGTAATTGTTGTTTACTCTGTTTATTGCATTCTAGTCACGTCAAGTTGGTTCAAAGAAGAAGGAGTTGGGGCTTTTCTCAAGTGGATATGCTATCATGGATGTCATCGTTGACAAGAAGGCCTATGCTCCAGGTAGTAATATTCCGCTTCAAATATGGTCAATCAAACACATTCACTGATATCTTCAGCTGAAGGCAGATACTGAAAAACAATTTTTGTTAGTGATGGCTGACACAGCCATGCAAAATAGCAAACTATTTTAATGACACTGCAATATTGTCAGCATTACAGTTCATGAATTGACTTATCCTATTTACTACTTTTGCCAGCAAAGAAATTGAATGCACCGTATAGTCGTTTTTACCTTACAGACATTTTGACTTGTCGTTTTAGGAGAAGCACTAATAACATGATTAACAGCTGTGTGCCATTTACATATGTCCGTTCATCTGCCCCAGTTTGGTGCATACTGGCTGACACCTGTGCTCTTGACAAGTTTAAATGTCTGCCATGATGAAATGGTCTGTTCTTCTGGTCTAGTTGAACATCATAGTCATTGTGGTTAGATTATACTTTCAAAAACCATGCATGGAATAATAAATAGGTGTGGTTTAGCATTTCAGCACAACTGAAATACAATATAAGAGGAAGTTGTGCCTCACTGGCATAAGAACATTCTGTTGTCTTTCTTATAGGTGAAACAATGGTGATTGTTGCAAAGATCAACAATTCCTCATCCACTGAGATGACACCCAAATTCAGATTAGGCCAGGATGTGGTGTACCGTGCCAACGGCAGTACCAAACATGAGGGCAACGTTATCCACAAACTGGCTGACCAACTTATTCCATCTCGAACACAAAAGGATATCAGGTGTACAGTGAAGATTCCTGGTGATCTGATGCCATCAATCCAGAATTGTGAAAGTATCTCAGTGGAGTACCATTTAAAGGTATGCAAGGGTGTGTCTTTATGGTAAAGCACAGTGAATTGAGTCCACTGACAGTGATTTTTTAAAATGATTTTGCAAAACTATTGACCCAAAAATACTGATTTGAGGCTGTCATATTTTCTCTCAGGTATATCTGGACATCAGCTTTGCTTTTGATCCAGAGATCATTTTCCCATTGGTCATTATTCCAAAAGACCTCGCTCCTGGCCCTCAGCCTCATGAGGCTGCAGGTCCATATCCCGCTGGGGCTGTTGGGGGTCCGAGCTACAGCGACTTCCCTCCTTCTGCAGTGTCCATGGGTCCTTATCCGACATCCCCACACTCAGGGAGTTATAGAAACCCAAGAGCCCAAAGGAATTCAACACCACCACCTGTGTACCCAGGTAACCCACCTGTGTATGCTGGTTCACCAAGCATGTATCCTGCTCATCCAACATACATGAGTGGGGGCTACAATAACCCAGTGCGACAGCGGCCTTCTCCATATGGATCTCCATTTTCATCTCCTGTACTTCACCCTCCACCCACTGCCCCAGCATTCCAACCACCCCCATCTGCCCCACCATTTCAACCACCCCCATCTGCCCCACATCTCCACCCATTCCCTCCTCCTCCACCCTTCCAGATATCCCCAACTGCTCCTACATACAACCCGCTGCCTTCTGCACCAATGATGAACACAGATTTCCTGTCTCAATCGGATGAAGCTCCTCCAGCATATTCGCTCCTTTTCCCATCTTCTGCTCCTGACGAACCTGATGCAAAATAATAGAATGTACTTATGTGAATGACTGAATGAGTTTGTTAATTATTAAGTAAAATACTAATATTGAGTTAAAATGTGAACTCTGATTAACTAAATCATATCTTTAATACTTCATTCACTAATACTTTAATGCAGTAATTGTTGTGTGCATGTGAACAATTGTATACAAAATGGGACTCTTTCAGTGTGTGAATGTTTTCAGGTCAGTTCAGGTTGATAATTGGCTTCGTCCAGCTGCTCAAACCTCAGCCATCAGGATACACTGTGTATTTCATGTGCCTTGGTCAACTCAAGTGTCCTAGACTGATCTTTTTTTCAGTGTTATAGTTTATATATAGTTTAGTTAATGTTTGGACACTAGTTGAAAGAGACTGGACAACATGTACTGTATCAAGAAAAAAGGTTTTATGTTCTGTTTTTTTTTTTGTTCTTTTAACTTTCTTTTAATGCCAAATACATTTCAACTACGTCTTTCTATTTTGTTACAAAATTCTCAAACTGCCAGTGTCTTCTCTGACTTGGAGACTTGAATAAAGAACTATTATGGAAAGGTTTTCTGTCAGTGTTAGTGTGAATACTTTGTTTTAACTACTTAAGTCTGTTATATGTTGGATATTACACAAAGCTAGAAAACTTTTTTGGCATATGTGCCAGGAGAGCAACTCCACTGGAATGAATAGGCACCATCTTGGTATCCAGTATCTAGTTATTATAAAAATCTATGGCAAAGAAACAGAAAGTCAAGAGCAAGGGCCATCGCTTTAAGGAGCAATGGAAAGTTGAATACATTTTCAGTTGTGTTTGTGTGATTTGTATCAGATTTTTTAATAACCTATATGAAGCAGCTGGCCCCCAGGTATTTTCACATTATCTAATCTGGCCCTCATTCAAAAAAGTTTGGGTTTGGTACATATTAACATGATAGCATCACACAGTTGCTGCAGATTTGTCAGCTGCACATCCATGATGTAAATCTCCCGTTCCACCACATCCCAAAGGTGCTCTATTGGTTAGAGATCTGGTGACTGTGGAGGCCATTGGAGTACAGTGAACTCAATGTGTTCAAGAAACCAGTTTGAGATGGTTTGAGCTTTGTGACATGGTGTGTTATCCTGCTGGAAGTAGCCATCAGAAGATGGGTACACTGTGGTCATAAAGAGATGGACACACTCAGCAACAATACTCAGGGAGGCTGCGGTGTTTAAATAGTGCTCAGTTGGTACTAAGGGGTCCTAAATCTGCTAAATAATTATCTCCCACACCATTACACCACCACAACCTGCCTGAACTGTTGATACAAGGCAGGATGGATCCATGCTTTCATGCTGTTTACCCCAAATTCTGACCCTACCATCTGAATGTCGCAGCAGAAATCCAGACTCATCAGACCAGGCAACGTTTTTTCCAATCTTCTATTGTCCAATTTTAGTGAGCCTGTGTGAATTGTAGCCTCAGTTTCCTGTCCTTAGGTGACACCCGGTGTGATTTTCTGCTGCGGTAGCCCATCTGCTTCAAGGTTCCACATGTTGTTCATTCAGAGATGGTCTTTTGCATACCTTGGTTGTAAGAAGTGGTTATTTGAGTATCTGTTGCCTTTCTATCATCTTGAACCAGTCTGGGCATTCTCCTCTGACCTTTGGCATCAACACAGCTTTTTTCGCTCAGAGAACTGCTGCTCATTGGATATTTCCTCTTTTTTGGACCATCCTCTGTAAACCCTAGAGATAGTTGTGTGTGGAAATCCCAGTAGATCAGCAGTTTCTGAAACACTCAGACCAGCCTATTTGGCACCAACAACCATGCCACGTTCAAAGTCACTTAAATCACCTTTCTTCCCCACTCTGATGCTCGGTTTGAACTTCAGCAGGTCGTCTTGACCATGTCTACATGCCTAAATGCATTGAGTTGCTGCCATGTGATTGTCTGATTAGCTATTTGCGTTAATGAGCAGTTGAACGGCTGTACCTAGTAAAGTGGCTGGTGAGTCTATCACTTAAATAAATATAGAAAATAGAAATCAATAAAAAAAATAGGACTTGCATGGTGGATTTCTCAAGAGGATATGCTATCATGGATGTCATCGCTGACAAGAAGGCCTATGCCCCAGGTAATAATATTCCTCTTCAAATATGGTCAATCAAACACATTCACTGATATCTTCAGCTGAAGGCAGATACTGAAAAACATTTTTTGTTAGTGATGGCTGATACAGCCATGCAAAATAGCAAACTATTTTAATGACACTGCGATATATATATTTTTTTACCTTACAGACATTTTGACGTGTGATTTTTGGAGAAGCACTAATAACATGATTAACAGCTGTGTGCCATTTAGATATATCTGTTCATGTGCCCCAGTTTGGTGCATACTGGCTGACACCTGTGCTCTTGACAAGTTTAAATGTCTGCCATGATGAAATGGTCTGTTGTCAGTGATGGTTTTAGTAGAGCATGAAAAAAGGGGTTGATGGAAATTTGGGTAACATTTTAGGGAGTTATAAACACCATAGTTGAACATCATAGTCATTGTGGTTAGACTGTACTTTCAAATAACATGCATGGAATAATAAATGGGTGGGGTTTAACATTCTATTGTCTTTTTTATAGGTGAAACGATGGTGATTGTTGCAAAGATCAACAATTCCTCATCCAAAGGGATGACACCCAAATTCAGACTAGTCCAGGAAGTGGTGTACCATGCCAATGGCAATTTCAGACGTCAGTGTAACGTTATCCACCGACTGGTTGACCAACGTATTGAATCTCGAACACATAAGGATGCCAGGTGTACAATATGGATTCCTGATGATCTGCTGCCAACAATCCAGAACTGCAACATCATCTAAGTGACGTACCATTTAAAGGTATGCAAGAGTGTGACTTTATGGTAAAGCACAGTCAATTAAGTCCACTGACAGTGATTGGTTAAAAAAAATGGTTTTGTAAAACTGTTGACCCATAGATATTAATTTTCCAAATTGATTGTCAGATATTCTCCTGCTTTTCCGTTTTAAAAGTAAAGCATACTGTGCTAATGAGGCTGTCATATTTTCTCTCAGGCGTATCTGGACATCAGCTTTGCTTCTGATCCAAAGATCATTTTCCCAGTGGTCGTTATTCCACCAGACCTTGCTCCTGGCCCTCAGCCTCATGAGGCTGCATGTCCAAACCCAAGAGCCCGAAGGTAATTAGGACCACTACGTGTGTACTCAGGTAACCCACCTGTGTATGCTGGGTCACCAGGCATGTATTCCTCTTCCCATCTTCTGCTCCTGACGAACCTGATGCAAAATAATACAATGTCTTTAATACTTCATTCACTAATACTTCAATGTAATAATTGTTGTGTGCATGTGGACAATATGCAAAAATGGGGCTTTTTCACTGTGTGAATGTTTTCAGGTCAGTTCAGGTTGATAATTGGCTTCGTCCAGCTGCTCAAACCTCAGCCATCAGGATACACTGTGTATTTCACGTGCCTTGGTCACCTCAAGTGTCCTACACTGATTTGAACTCTATTATAGGTGTTATAGTTGTTTATAGTTAAGTGTAAGTTTGGATGTTAGCTGAAAGAGACTGGACAACATCTACTGTATCAAGAAAAAGGTTTTTAAGTGTTTTTTATAAGTGTTTTTTAATGCCAAATACATTACAACTGACTATTTTGTTACAAAATACTTACAAACTGCCAGTGTCTTCTCTAACTTGGAGACTTGAATAAAGAACTATGAGGGAAGGTTTCTCTGACAGTGTGAGTGTGAATACTTTGTTATAACTTCTTAATTCCTTTGTATGTTTTCATTTCTACAAGACAAAGTAGCACACTTCTCTGCAAACAACCTCATCCATCTGATCTTTTCCAGTATATCAAAGACATATCTTTTTATTTCTTTTGTCGTTTTAGATAGATGACTTGAAGTTATACCAGCATGATGTTAAACACATTGTAAAAAGGAGGGGCTTATGGGCGTACACTTGGTAAGTTGCCTTTAACTTAAATTTATTTTGTAAATCTGAATTGCTTGTTAACCATTGCGCGGTTGCGGCATCCTGATTGCGCAAAAGTGCGTTGTAAAGTGTTAACTGTCTAACCCAAGGCAATATTGGGGTTTTTCTTGTGACGTCAATATCCGAGCGGAGCCGCACCCAGTTCTCACATCGAGATAGCAGGACTATCAGCGTTGTCACATACACACATACACACACACACATACACACACAGCAGTTAGTGGATCCTACACAACGGTAACAGAGCGCCGAGATACTTAAAATGCCGCGGATAAAGGACTTTAGAGTAACTTATGAAGCTATCAACGAAGAGGGAACTTTTTCTGAGGGAGATACAATCACGGGCTCAGTGACTTTCACTCTGACCAAAGACACCACAGTGAAGGGGCTGGTGGTGAAAGCCAAAGGGGACGCGAACGTGCGCTGGACGGAGGGATCTGGAGAGGACCAGGAGACATACAGTGCGCACAGGAGATACTTCAAAGACAAAGAGTGTCTGATCCCAGAAAATGCGAAGGGTAAAGATGTGCTGGCCTTTGATTTGCTCACTAATAGTAACATTTGGATGTCATTTTGTTCTTTTACAGTCATGGGCGTTAGTTTGATAAGATGAGTATGCTGTTTTTATAGCATATCTTGTAAATTATGTGGAGATTATATTGTGTCAGTATTGCTTCTAGTGTTGGTACAAGAGGATCTTTGCACTGTCTGCTTGTCACGTGACCATTTTTATTGCACAGTATAGTCCATTCTTTATTTAGATGTGTTGTTATAAAGAAATATATTCAGATCTGTTCATACCTGTATTCACTTGTTGACAGCAACAAGTAAACACACCAACAATGCATCTTGAATGACTCTTCTTGCTTGTCGGAAGTGTGGTGTGTTATTTATATAACATCTCCGCACAGATTCTGCACCCTAATGTTGTTACCAATGAACTAAATTGATCACACATGTACTTCTGGGAACCAGATGAATCATTTGTAAGGTCACTACAGGCAGTGCTATTCACTCTCACTTCTTTGCAGGCACTGCACTTCCCAAAGGAGCTCATCACTTTAAGTTCAAGTGTAAAATCCCACAGGGGTAAGTAGGAATTCCTAGTATGGAATTAGCAGCCTACTGTGTTATTGTTTGCCTTTACAAATAACTGCATTGTCCTGGTTTACAGCGACATGCCGTCATCCTTCAAGGGGAAGCATGGAAAGATCGTCTACATGCTTGAAGCAAAGATGTCCAGGAGTTGGCGGTGGCCCACTAAAGCACGAGAAGAGCTCAACTTTGTCTCAAAGTCCCTTTCACACCATGGCCACGTAATGGTGAGTGGGACACTACAATGAAACATGTTAAATGTATGTGTATATATATATACATACATACACATATATATGTATATGTTTACACACCTATCAGCCAAAACAACATTGATCATTTTGTTACAATGCAATGTTCTGCTGGGAGCTGTGGGCTAAGTAACACCCCCTCACGGCAACGGTACTCCCTGATGGCAGTGGCCCCCCAGCAGGAAAATGCATCATGCCACACCGCAGAAACTGCTCAGGAATGGCCCGAGGAACATGACAAAAAGCTCACGGTGTTGACCTGGCCTCCAAATCTCCCACACCCCAATCTGACTGAGCATCTTGGGATGTGCTGGTACCCCACCTCACAACTGACAATTCTCAAATGATCCAAGGCCAACACTTCTGGTGCCAGGCACCACAGGACACCCGCCAGAGGTCCTGTGTCCATTCCTTGACATGTCAGGGATACTCACTCAGATTTGGATCTGGGGAATCTGGAGGCCAGGTCGATGCCTTTAGCTTTTTGTTACATTCCTCTGGCCATTCCTGAGCAGTTTCTGCAGTGTGGCATGGGGCATTTTCCTGCTGGGGGGGCCACTGCCATCAGGGAGTATCGTTGCAGTGAGGGGGTGTTACTTAGCCCACAGCAGTGTTTGTTTGCTTGTCAGTATGACAAGCGAGTCGTGCATATGCGAAAAGGTCTGCCATCTTTGACACACCACTTGGATAAACCACGTCATGACCTGAGTCCCTTTTATGAGACTATATTGTCTCAGCAAGCACGGGCTGACTTCATGGAACCTTTCATGTGTTTTCAGTATTGTTATTGTATTGTATGACATTTTTCATAGCATGAGTTATTACAGAAACTGTTTGGTTCGTGTTCAAGATGTAATTCTTTGGCCCTGAAAGTTATAAAAGTAGTGTTAAAAAGATAAAGGTATACAAACCCTTAGTATCTGCTAGAGCATTCATTCTAGAAAAACAAACAAACGTTACCACAAATATAAATGTGTCCATTGCAGGTCTTTGCAATTGCAAAATCACATTCCTCTTACTCCCAGTGTTAGTAAACAATATTCTAGCCTATTGGCAAGCTTACTCATTAGCACAGCCTACCAATTTAGCAGGCTAACTCACTAATCCTGCAGTAGCTTATAACCATTTTGTTCAGTGTTAATGAGAATTTTGTTCAACTGCACTAACTCTAATGTGGAAAACTTAGGTTAGCTCTGAAGAGGCACAAAGGAATCTTGAAAGAAGTACAGCAGCAGCATACCAAATTATGTCAGAGGGCTGTAATTGGTTCATTGCAATGTTGGTCCAGGAATGCAATGTGTTATCTTGATCCAGGTGCATGTCCTGCCTAGCAAAATCACATCGTGCCAATCACCGGAGGCAGTACATGCTGCAACTCCTTTGGTCTAATAGTTTGGAAGTATTAGTGCCTGTCAAAACATGTCTTTAAAAGTAACTGAGGGCCCTATCTTATGTGATGATGCTCAGCCTTTTGAGCACAACAATTATTTACATGTATTCAAATGCGGGAACAGAAATTCAAATGACAGAAAAACTTCATACAATACAATCCATTGATTGAATTTGAAAAAAAGGCAGATGTAATGTCTTTATACATAAAGGAGAATTCACATTCTTATAAGCATTCTGTCTTTTCAACAATCTGCTACACACTTCCCATATGTTGACAGATGTATGTTGTACTTGACATAGATATTGGCACATTTTGGTCAGGATCTAATTCACTCCTTTGGGTTGCAAGATAAGAGAGGAAACATCTGTGTCACAGCACAATTCTATGCTAGATTTTTTTTCCCTTGCTTGGCCAAATATTTATTATTATTATTTACTTGCACAATATTTAAAACTTAGTCATAAATCCATAGATTAAACAGGTCATTATTTAATAGCCTTACCATATCTAATATATTGTTGGCCAGTGTACCTAAGAGACTAAGACTGTTATATATCCTTGTGGGGAAATTGGTTTGTGTCATAATCACAAAGGCATTTTATCACATATTTCATTAAAAGCACAATCAAACATTCTGAGCATTTTGTTGTGGACATGAAAAGATAACAATTTCTTTAGAAAGATTTTTCTTCGTTGTGTCATAGTGCTTATGACATCAGTCAATGGGTCCCATTTAAACTTGTGGTTAGACACTATGTCAAGGTACTTGTAATCTGTAACAGCTTATATTTGCTCTCCTTTGATAAGATCAGGAACAGAGGATTGCAGCATTCCCAAATCTATTGACATTTCCTTTGTTCTAGAGGTACTCAGGAGTAGATTTGACTTCCTACATCAGTTTAGGACGGAAGTTGTCGAAAACTGGCCCATACTCCTCCTCCCTATTGTGTAGAAGGCTATCATCCACTTGCTTAATAAAGTGTTCTCATGTTGAGTGTGCAGTAATTCAATAAAGTCAGTATTGCATCCTCCACCCCTCTAAAGGCTTGATATGCGAATAAAAAGGGTTCAGTGAGTTGCTGGGTTTGTGACACAGTGCACCTTTTTACGAGATGCTCAAAGCACTTCATTACCAATGATGTCATTGCTATTGGATGAAAGTCACTGGACTCTATGGGTGTGAAATTTTTTTGCACGAGCACAATTGTAGATGTTTTTCATAGGGAAGGGACTTTGTGGAGATTAAAGGAGGGCATGAAATATCAGTAAATACCGATGCTAGCTGCTTAGCACAATGCTTTAAAACACAACCAGAATTATTATCAGGGCCTGGGATTTTCCGTGGGTTACATCCCCTGAGCAGTTCAAAGACTTCTGCCTCCTTGATAGTTAAGTTTGATGTGGCGGTCTCAGCACTGCCGCCACTCCCAAAGTGACAGAAGAAGGTGCAGAGCTGATTTGCCATCTTCAGTCCCTCATCATCATGCAGGACAAGGGTATGGTTTCCCCGGCCCTTGTGTGAATTTTGTCATTGTTTTAATTCCCTGCCATGCCTATCTGGGATTGCCAGAGGCCAGAGATGCCTCTAGCAGACACTTCTAAACCCTGGTTGTTAATATCAGGGCTACTAAAGACCTCCCATAATGTGCAGTCAAAACATCCCTGCAGATATAATTAGCTGTAGAAGGTCATCAATAAATTGCTTTCCCATCTCACCATTTGTAAATGGAACAACCACTGGTCAACCAAGGTGTGTTTCACTTCAAACTGGTTGACAAACTGACATTAGAGTTTCTGATTTATGTTAGGGTTAACCAATTTAATGTTAATTTTACCAAGCTCTCCATACATAGCATTGAGGCTTGTTTACCAAGGAAAATATTAACTGCTTTACCTGCTAGTGTAAAGTTAGCTTGTTAACAGCTAGGTGAGGTTAGCTAGACGGTAAATTCTATCCAATATTTTAATGATATGGGACACGTTATACCATTCTAATGTCAGTATGACTGGATAGTGAAAATTAAAAGTAGTAGAGTATGTTACATTTACAGCTAATGGAACTCATGGTGGGAAAACTCAAAAGTGTGCATCCTGTGCACAGAGTAAGCAGGGCTGAGATGGTCACAGAGCTCGCTGAAGGAAGCACTGCTATAACCACCTCATATAACCACCTCCATCCAGGCGAAACCACATGTTTCACAGAGACCCTTACATTCACCTCATGTTTGCAGAAGACCGGGAAGAAAGACTGTTTAAAAGTCCCTGTGTGTTCAGCTCATTTGTACTTTTATGTGTAGAACTTTGTCAGCAGCTTGTCTTCAATACAAGCAAGTCCACTACCAAAGAGAGGAACAGTACAAGTGGAAACAGCCACAGTGAGATATAAAGAGCTGCAGAAAACAGGCTCTTACTGCACCTCTGCACACAGCTCATTTCAAGCAGGTAATCTTCAACCTGCTGTGTGATGGAAAAACACTGCAAAACATGGCAATACTCACCTTTTAAACAATGTGGGGAACCATTGTCTGACTTAACTCTCTGGGGGTTTCGGGGTAATTCCTCCCAGGGGAACTTTTTAGAACTTTACAGTTAAATTGGGCATTTCAGAGCATTTTGAAACAAAAATCTCCAATAAGGGTTTCTCAGATTTTTGATAACCCCTAAATTGAATCCCAGCACCCCTAAAATTTGAGAGAATTTTTTTTTTTTTAACTATATAGCCTTTTTTAACAAGCTAGAAAAGTGTCAAAACCATACAGTACTTGGTTGAAATGTAATATTTTAACAACAACAACAACAACAAAAAATACAGCCCCCCCTTGCCTCAAAAATGGTGTGAGCTCTGAGCGCTCAATCTGCACAGAGCGATGCGCTGCCTTCCAGAGTGGGAGATATGCAGTAGTGGTGTAAGTACCTGGCTGAAACCAGGATATGTGGCACATTTCTTAACTTCTACCACTCAATACCAACACATTATTATCATTACCAGTCCTTATTTTTGCTGCATTTAATCGTAGGTCACTGTTTATGTTGTTAGGTAGGAGTTAGCTGACGTTTTTTCTAGCTAGGAAACGTTACAGGTGGTCAGTACCACTGTCCTCTGTTTGAATTGGCATGAGAGAAGCTAGCTGTTGTGTCATGTGCATGTGTTAATATTAAAGCCAAGGTGCTACTGACTAGCTAAGTGACTGGATGCCCATTAACATTATAACTCCTATTGTGTGTGCGTGTGCATGTGTGTGTGTGTGCTTGCACGTGTGTGTACAGACAGACAGACAGACAGACAGCCTCATCATGGATATATATATATGTATATATATATATACATATAATAAAGACAAGAAGGAAAAAGGCAGAGACAAACATTGAAAAAGTCAATAACTGTTAATGTGTTAATGTTACATGTTGTGCATTGCATTTCAAATATAATAAGTCCAAGGTCCATTTTTGGTATTTTTGGTACTCACTATAGGGGGCTGGTTTACTCCAGAAACATACATACTGTTTATGTGTATGTTGAGGAGCTGCTGTATCAAAATGAGTTATCATCCCCCAGAAATTAGGGTTACGATATGTTTCTTTTATGATTCCAATCCATTCCTCTTTTGTTGTGGCTCAGCATTTAAATAACCTTTATCAGATTTGATGGTTTAGTCACAGACTTTCCCAAAAAGTGTTGTGCTTTTCTTTCACAAATGTGGGAATGAAATTGTGTTAAAATGTACAAAACAGTGAAATTTATCTTGCATGGCCGGGCAGCTCTTTGGGTGCCCAGCACCCCTAAACCTCTGATCCTAGAATCGCCCCTGACTGAGAGCCACTTTAGAGAGTCAGCGTATGAATAGTGCTGCACTGTTTTTTCTTAAACTTTTTTTATGACATATTATACTATGACATTTATGATATACTTTACTATGGCTTTTTAAGACATTTTATGACATACTTGGCAAAAGTACAACAATCCACAGTGATATAGCTATCATAACTCTCATAGTACATTCTAATTTTCCACTTTTTAATACATTCAAAACTACTGAAATAGAGACACAGCACATTGATTGTACCTACCCACAGTGGTTGAGCAGCGACTTCGGCTGGGGTACGGCAATGTCACTTGCACAAACCACAAGCAGAGCTGCAGTACACTGCAATGCTAGAACAAGTAGTAATAATAATGGCAATTTCTTAGGTTCATGTATGGTTATGATTACATTTGCTAATGATGATTTCAGACTGTGCATGGTTGTCTTTCATAGCATATGTAATTTGTCAGTATTTTGAAGGGGAAATTTTGAGTGGAACAGCCTGCTGCCTTTAAGATTCATCATCTCAAGACTAGCATGTTACCAGTAGACACACCTTCAAGGGAGTAGCCCTGTTGTAGTGGAGACACAAATCCCTGTTGTTGGGCTGATGTGTGGAGTCAAACTGAGTCAAGCCAAGCCAGCACATATGTATGGAAAAACTTTGTCAGGGAGGATTCATCACTAGATGTTAAAGAGAACGTTTTTTATGGTGTTAATCTGGACAAGGTTAATCCAAAGGTTAACAGGAAGATGACAGTATTTTCTCCTGAACTTTGAATTTCAGCTGCACGAGTAGCTGCACTGATATGGAATATTTGTTTGTATGATTTGTTCTAGTGTCCCCAGTCTGGTTCAGTGGATAAAAAGACGGGGGTTTTCACCAAAGGACAGATCCGCATGTCTGCTGATATTAACAGAAAGGTTTGCTCTCCAGGTAAAGTCACTCCAGCGTACATACATTATGTGTATTGTATAATATTTGTTATTGTGTGATGGCACTATTTCATTAAAAAAACTGTGCATATTTACATTTTATAATTTGTTTTTGACAGGTGACACTCTATCTGTTGTTGCCAAAATCTGCAACTCCTCTTCCAAAAAAATGAAGCCCAAATTCAGTTTACATCAGAACATAGTGTACCGTGCCAACGGCTCCACTAACACCAATGACAAAAGTCTGTGCAAAATGGTTGGAGAGACTATCAAAGAGAACTCAGAGGAAACTGTGTCCTGCCAAATAAAGATTCCTGATGATGTCATCCACACTCTCACAAACTGTGAAATCATCTCCGTTGAACATTACCTCAAGGTATGTAACAATGTAATGATGTTATTACGTCAACTCAGAAATGAAGTAACTGTTTTTGTTCACAAATAGTGGTGGTTAAATAACTGTAACACAGACGATTCTTGGCTTTCATCACAACCTTCAACAATCATGAGAAATATGAAACAACATAACAGCACAGCAGCTTATTAAAACTACTTTATAATGCAAAGTTCAGACCAAAGACTGGCCAGTTGAAAGAGGCAACTACTACCACAACATTCTGAAATCCTGCCAGTTCACACCAGTGCAACTAGATGATGCAACTAGATCTCTATGCAACAACTCTCTGTACTTCTGTTCTGATTTCCAGCTTTTCAGGCCTATTTTGTGGCTGAATATAATTTGTAGTTTATTAAAATATGAATGAGGATAGTGATATTGAGAAACTGTCTACAGTTGCATTTGTAGTAGTGAAACAGTGAAAAACAAATAGAAAACCAGCATCAGATGGACATACTCATAATAAATATGTCACAATAATATAAATAACCAGCACAAATTAATTAGTCAGTTAGAATGTGTGTATGGGAGGGCATAAGCACATAAAGCGAGCAGCAGCAGCAACCCACCGCCTGCCCTCCGGCACACCGTGAGGATAGACAGAGGGCTCGGTGAATCTGAGAAGTCATAGCACACTATTCCCAATCATTCCACATTTTGATGTATTTTTTTGCAAATGTGTTGGCTACGCTGTGGGAAGAGAAACGTGCCAAAAAACGTAGCAGAAGATTAAGAATAATAACAATAATAATATTCCTTCTGTTGCACAGCAGGCACCCCAATTAATCATGTTTATCTATCAGACAGTACAATCAACTTAGTTATAGTTCAGAATCAGAATCAGAAATACTTTATTGATCCCAGAGGGGAAATTATTTGTTTTATAGGTGCTCCTTGCAAGAGTGGAAAGATAAGTGAAAATATAAGAAATTTAACAAGAGTATTTACAAATATATAGTTCAAATAAACAGGATTATTAACAAAAAATAAAAGTAAGAATATATATATATTGTAACCTAAACAAGATTATTTACACAATATATATAGTATAAATAGATAATACACAGAATATATACAGTCAAGGTGAAATGGGGTTATTGTACAAGTTAAATTAAATTACTGCACATGTTGACAGTGGGTGAAATAGTCTCAGGGCCACTCAGAGGGGGGAGTTGTACAGTTTGATGGCCACAGGCAGGAATGATTTCCTGCCTGTTTCCTGTTGAAGGACCTCAGTTGCCTCAGAAAATAGAGACAGCTCTGGCCCTTCCTGTAGAGACAGTCAGTGTTCTTAGCCCAGTCCAGTTTATTGTCAATGTGTACCCCCAGGTACTTATAGTCCTCTACAATGTCCACACTGACCCCCTGGATGGAAACAGGAGTCACCAATGTCTTGGTCCTCCTCAGATCCACAGCCAGTTCCTTTGTTTTTGCCACGTTGAGCTGTAGATGGTTCTGCTCACACCATGTGACAAAATGATTCAAAATAGCCCTGTACTCATCCTCATCACCCTTGCTGATACATCCAACTATAGCAGAGTCATCAGAAAACTTCTGAAGATGGCAGGTCTCAGTGCAATAGCTGAAGTCCGTGGTGTAGAGGGTGAAGAGGAAGGGAGAGAGGACAGTCCCCTGCGGGGCCCCGGTATTGCTGACCACTCTGTCTGACACACAGAGTTGCAAGCGCACATACTGTGATCTGCAGTCAAGTAGTCTACAATCCAGGACACCAGGGGGCATCCACCTGCATTGCTGTCAGCTTGTCACCCAGTAGAGCTGGACGGATGGTGTTGAACGCACTAGAGAAGTCAAAAAACATGACCCTCACAGTGCTCGCCAGCTTGTCCAAATGGGCATAGACACGGTTGAGCAGGTAGATGATGGAGTCCTCAACTCCAAGTAGGGGCTGATAGGCGAACTGGAGGGGGTCCAAAAGTGGCTTGACCATGGGCCGGAGCTGCTCCAAGACAAGTCTCTCCAGGGTCTTCATGATGTGGGAGGTCAATGCCACGGGTCTGACATGAATGAGAGTTTGATTCAGGTCATTTTACTTCCTCATATGTTTGTGTTTCCCAGGTGTATTTGGACATCAGTTTTGCCTTTGATCCAGAGGTGGTGTTTCCACTCATCATCGTTCCTTCTCGCTTTACCACCCTTTATCCTGATGAGGCTATGGGGCCTTACCCAGCTGGAGCTGCTGGGGGCCCAAGTTACAGCGACTTCCCTCCTCCTGCCTTCCCTGTGGGACCTTATCCTGTACCCGCAGGTCCAGGTGCTTATGGATACCCAGCAGCAGATCCTACTCAATATGCAATCACAACAAACAACAATAATCCGTCGCCACAGCAGGCCATTCAATATGGTTTTTCAACTGCATCTTCATCTGCAATCCAGCATCCTGGCCCTACTGCTCCACCTCTGTCTAAACAGGGAGAAGAACCTCCATCTTATGTGTCCCTTTTCTCATCTTCTTAGGACAGTTTCGGTAGTACAGGGTCAAATAGCTGAGCTTCAAGCAATCTTTACCAAAAAAAAAAAATCCTGATAGATTATGAAGGCTTCTGAGGTATTTATAATGCTGTAAAGTATTTGCTGTACACAAATGCAAAGCTGCATTCTCTATTTCCACTTTTTTTTTAACATTTTGTACGGTTATGTCATATGTGTAAAAAATATTTAATATCTGTACAGTGTGCGCTCTGTGCAGTACCAAAGTGACCTGTCTGTGCCCCTCCTTCATTTCACTGTGGGGGTGGGGCAGTTCAGTTGTTCCAGATTTCCAGTAGTTAAGCAAATAAAGCCAAAACAGGCTTGATTACCTTTGTTCTTGGCTGTTGTGTGCATCCATGGACCTGTAAGTAAGTTATGTCACATAATCTACGAACGTGGTATATGTGTATTGATCGCTTTTTAGACAATCCTTGCATCCTTTTCAGTTCGGCTATAGCTGCTAATGCTAATTAGGCCCACTTAAAGGTTCTGTATGTAACTTTTTACATGTTTTAATCACTTGCTGTTGCAAAGGGGTGAAAGGATTGTAACTTAAAAACCAAGACCTTCCTCAACTTCCTTTGTTACATATAAAAGCCTGAAGACTGATTTGTATATGAAGGATTTAAGACAAATGTAACATTGGTGCTCGCTCCGGAGTGCCTTCACCTGACACTCAAACACACCTGTCCAACAGAGAGAAAGCCAACTCCACGTCATTCTCCATCCCCATCCCCATCCCCATTTTTGGTGCTCTGTATATTTTCGTAGCTTACATTTGCATCCATGCTTGCAATCTGGCACCTGGTCACTACGTTTTACTGAGTCCAGCTCTCACGTCTTGCATTCTGTGGCTGTGCCTTAAGGCTATTGCCTAGAAACGTCTCAACCGCTGCACAATAAAAAATTCAAGAGAAAATGCTGTAATCAGAGAGCAGGTCTCTGCAGGTGCAGACACTGCCACATACTTCTTGTGCATCATAAGTGATGACTGAGAGTGGACTTTTATATGAAGCAATATAATCTTTTTTATGAAGTTCGGTTTGAGTGTGAACTATTTGTTTTAACTATTTAATTCAGTTTTCTTTTTTTGGCCACAAGGTGGCACAGCTCTCAAATAATGTTATCTACCTGCACTGTGTGATATTACTGTGATACCTGGATTGGTTGAATAAGGTTGAACTGCATCACATGAGACAACAGGGGAGAGGTTTTCTGTGACCTTGTTTTACAGGAGTGCACTGGACATGAATTAAATGATGCACACAGAAGAAGAAGCAGGTTCCATTTGAAGGCATTTCTCTTGTGTAAGATGTGGTTAATTGGTTTTCCCATCTATGACTGAAAGAAAGCATGCACACAAATTCAACAATATCACATCAGTACATGAATACATCCCTACTTCAAAGGGTCATAATACTGTCAGAATTAAATTGAGTGATTAGATGTAGACTTTAGCTTTACAATGGCAAAGTAAACACGACTTATACCAGTCACTCAACGCATTCAGGAGAGGACAAAGTAAACCTGCTCAGTCCAAGTGCAAACAGTAAACTCAGTGTCAGCTGCCCACTTCCTACACCTGTGCCTCTTTTTGGGAGATCATTGGGAGTCATGGCACATTGGGGAAGTTTTCCTTGTAGGCTTTAACCTGGAGATCCCTTTCTGCCAGAAAGCTATTGAAGCTTTGTCCCGACTGTACAGTACACGTGACCTCCACTATCAACAGACTTCAGTCTTCGGGCGGAGCCAAACAAGACATAAGCCAAACCCAACGCCAGTGTTCCGGGTTATTCAGGTAATTCTTCACGCTGTGCAGAAACAGTTCGGAGTAACAACTTATCGATCCGTCCAAAATGTCTCCGATAAAAGACTTGCAAGTCGTGTATGACGCTCTCAACGAGAAGGTAACATTTTCTGCAGGAGACGTTGTCACTGGCACAGTCAGCTTTAATCTGACAGAAGACACAGAAGTGAAGGGGCTGATCGTGAAAGTCAAAGGAGACGCGCATGTGCGCTGGACGGAGGGCACAGGAGACAGGAGAAGGACCCACCATGCGTACAGGAGGTACTTCAAAGTCAAGGAGTTCCTGATTGCAGAAACAGGTGGGGCAAACACATATGTGACCATGACCTGTAAACATGGGCATAATTTGTTATTTTAAAATGATGGGCGTTAGTTTGACAGGGTGGCTGCATAACACATACACAGTGTCATGTACTTTGTAAGTGATATAGCTTTACTGTGCTCGAATTACTATAAACATGGGTACCTGAGGGTGTGTCCACTGTCTGCTTGTCACGTGACTGCTTGTTTTGCAAAGTATACTTTGCCCAAATCCATTATTTATTTAGATATGTTGTATAAAAATATGAGAATAGTTTAAAAACAGTCATAGTTTTATCCCCAGCTCTTGCAACAATGAAAAATTAAGATTCAAGGAAACAGAGGGAAATTTGTCTTGGGCCCTACACCCATACTGCAGCCATAGAAATACAACATACAACATAGTAGGCTATATAGACAAATCAACATTACACCCAAAGTAGCAATAGGAAACACAAAAAGATAAATAAATAAATAACATTATGTGCTAAAATGACCTCTATAAAAATTCAAACAAGCAAATCTGCAAAAGTCTGCAATGAGGCACTGTAAACCTCTTACCAAAGGGCAACAGCTCGGACCCTGTATGCAAAACATGAGCGGAGTCATTGATGATCTTATTGGCTTGACTTAGAGTAGCCTGTTCACCTAAAATGTATCATGAATTAATGTTATCCACTTGTAAATAGGCCTCTATCGCACATTATGGTCCATATTTTACACATCACCAAGCACATTCTGAACTGCACGTACACAATCGTTGTTTTGATAGACTTCCCAGAACCAAATGAGTCTCTTAATCTCTTTGATTACACAACACAAAGTGCAACAATCCACCTGTCTGTCATTCGAGCCACCTCAGGAAGTGTTGATCATTCTCACTTCTTTTGCAGGAACTGCACTTCCCAGAGGAGTCCATCGCTTTAAGTTCAGGCTTCAAATCCCACAGGGGTAAATAGTAATTTCTAACATCTAAGCATTTGTAATGTGGCTTTGTTTGCTTGTAGAAATAACTGCATGTGTGGACTGGTCTTGTTTTACAGCAACTTTCCGCCATCCTTCAAGGGGCTTCATGGACGAATTGCCTACGTGCTTCAAGCAAAGATGTCCAGGAGCTGGCGGTGGCCTGCCTCAGCACACAAAGAGCTCAAATTTGTTTCAAAGTATATATCTCAGAAGGTCATGGTAGGTGGGATACGACAATGAAACACCTTAACATTTTCTCCTTAACTTGACACTATTTACACTTTCCAAACAAACATTGGCTAAAACTCAAAGTAAAGAATAGAGGAGTTGGTGGACATACAGCATGAAGAGTTGAGTGTGAAAACAGATGTAACAGAGAATGTGTCTCAACAAAGCTTTATGAAGTCTGGCATGGAGAAAAGTCTACACAACAGCAGCTGCTTGAATATAATAAAAAGGAGGCAGGCAACAGGACCAAATGTAATCTGAGGTATCATTTGATATGACGTGTAATAGGTTGAGCAAACAGAAAATAAAAAAAACATAAACCGGTTTTTTGAATCAACAAGAAATGGATTGGGTTCACCTAAAAGGAGTTGCACTTGGCATGAGGAAAGTGGTGTTTTGGTCGTGTGGCTTATAAGAGAATCAAAAGAGAGCATACAGTGTTTCTCAACCCTGTCGTAATCTCTGCAAGATGCCAGTATTTTCCCCTGAACTTTGAATTTCAGCCAAATGAGGCATTGTTATGAAATAACCCTGGCTTGTATGATTCATTCTAGTGTCCCCAGACTGCTTCAGTGTCTAAAGAGATAGGGCATTTCTCTAAGGGGAAGATTGAAATGTCTGCTACCATCAACATGAAGGTTTGCTCCCCAGGTAAAGTCACTCTGACTTGCAAGAAACACAACCACGTCGTCGTGAGAAAAAAAAGCAATGTATTGTCAGCTTTGTTTCAACATGATTATCACATCTCAAAACAAGTTTATGCAAGTTTTCTATACATGTATATGCTTTATAAACACAATTATTGAGCACTTACATAGAGTATGTGTATGTGGTGACATTATTCCAGAAAAAAAGTGCATATTCAGATGTTATGATTTGTTTTTGATAGGTGACACCATAGATGTTGTTGCCAAAATCCACAACTCCTCTTCCAAGAAAGTGAAGCCCAAAGTCAGTTTAATGCAGCAGGTGGTGTACCGTGCAACGGGCCACAGAAGAACCAGTGGCCAGTGTCTTTGGAAATACGCTGGGGATTCTCTGGAAAACAAAGAGGGTACTATTTCCTGCCAAGTGAAGATTCCTGATGATGCCCTGTGCACTGTCGCTAATTGTGACATCATCTCGGTTACATATATGCTCAAGGTAGGTAACAATGTGGTAGTGATGGTACATCAACTCAAATAATGTATAAATAAAAAAAATAAATGTATAATAAAAGACAATAATCATGTTTATCAGACTTCCCGACCAACTTAATAGATATTGGCATAAAAGGCCATTTGCTTCAGTTCATCTTTGAGGGAGACATACTTGACATCCTGATGTGCTTCTGTGTTTCCAGGTGTATGTGGATGTCAGTTTTTCCTTTGACCCAGAGGTGGTGTTTCCACTTGACATCGTTCCCTCTAGCTGTGGTACCTTTCAGCCTAGTGTAGCTCTGGGGCCTTACCCTGCTGCTGCTGGGGCCCCAAGTTACAGCGACTTCCCTCCTCCTGCCTTCCCTGTTGGGCCTTACCCTGGGCCTGCACCCATAGGTCCAGGTGCTTATGGATACCCACCAGCAGGTCCCACTCAACCTGCAAACATGACAAGCGGCTATAATAATCCATGGCAACCGCAGGCTGTTCCATACGGGTTTCCAGCTGTAGCTCCATCTGCAGTCCAGCATCCAGCCCCTACTGCTCCGCCTCTGTCTCAACAGGGAGAACAACCTCCACCTTACACATCGCTTTACCCCCCCATTCAGCCCACTTTCAGTGGGACAGGGCCAGATCACAAATACTGAACCTTTAAAAAGGACCCAGATAATCTTGACCTAAAAAATACAGACAGGTCATGCTTTATATGTACTCTGTTGCGTTACAGACATCTCAAATGTGGCTTTAACTTGCAAAAGAACATGTAGCCCATTTTGTAGAAAATACCGAGATGTGTATCTTGTGTTGCAATTCAGCCTGAAAATACCAAGATATGAATTTTTGTTCATATCACCGAGCCCTACTGTAGAACCACAATGACCTGTCTGCAGTGGTGAAAGTAGATTGACATAGTTGCTGGTACTGCTACCCCAGCCTTCATCACTTCATACTGTTGTCCTGTTGTTTTTTAATGTCTGTATGGCGCACAAAGAAATTAGAATAGCAGATGATTTACTTAAATGTTGTAGGTGCCACAGAATAATTTGTGAATGTTGGCAAAACTTTTCAAGTCAATTTGCTTTCCTTTAAATTCGAGGAAAAGTACAACTAAATTTATCAACAATAGTTGAACAGGTTACAGGTCTCTGTCTTTGAATTTTCAGAACATTGAGCACATAAATAAAGTTTTCTAAGAGAGAAATCATTAAATATTTGGGGAGAGTACACTTTATTAGCATAATTTCATTGAACATGTTTTCCAATGAAAATTCCCCAAAATTATGCAAAAGCATATTTTTTCCAAACATGTTGCAGTATAGCCAACAGGGACCCATTAATGTGTGAAGGGATTTTTAGGACTCTACACCTTATAAGAGAAAAGCTATTGAGTAGTTGTTTTTTCTTTCGGTGTTGCACTTTGTAGACAGTCCCTGCACAATTGTCCCACAGCTGGTTGCACATAGAGAGCAATGTTATTTATCCAGCTTGGACGAAGGCTCGTTTTGATGGAAATTGGATTGTAGCTTGTCGTCTAGTTTACTGTGGGTGGAAGGAGGTATTGTTTGTGTTTTAACAACATTTGTTTATGATGTATTGATCTGGGAAGTTTTAAATCTGTGAATATCTTTCCAAAAATACTGAAATGGTGTGGTCAGGCAGCTGCGTGTTTTCACTTGCTTCCTTACTTTTAATACAAATGTTTATTCATTTATGGCAATGCACTTTAACTGAAGTAGTTTTCTTCTCTATGCAAGCTTAAAGTTGACCAAGAGGGAAGCCAACACATTAAAAAGACCATCACAACTTGGTCTACTCCATCTTAGAGTGGTATGTTTTGTCTCCCCAGTGCAGTTCCCAAAGATCACAGGAGTAGTGATGAAAAGATTGGTTCTTTTAAGAAATGCAATTTGTGGCATTCACTTGCCACTAGCAAACCGACTCAGGAAGCTCTAGCTGGCTAGCTGGGAGATGTGCTTGAGCTGCAATTATACTGCGTTCCACAAGCTCTCTCAGCTCTTTTTGTCTAATAAGTACATGAATTAACAACTCCGTTAAGTGCCACAACCTTATAAACACCAGCAAAACAGCCGTCACAAATGTGCCTTTCAGTCTTTTGGTCTGAATCGGCTACCTGGCAATAACAATATTTTACCATCTCTGTTATATGGTGGTTGATCTCGCCCTCTGTTTTCCCAATTTATTGACATTTTTGGCAGCTGTTCATCTTCTTTGAGTTAGTTACTAACTGCTGCTAGGTGCTGCTGTTTAAATCACGCACAGCTGGCATAACACACAATCGAAACATCACACCTGTTCTGCCCATTGTCCTGTCTTGCCAGCGTTTCACAAGTGCCGTCCACTTTACACAGACACCGATTTGGCACTGGTACTACCCCATTTTTGACTTATGACTTAAGTCTGTCTACTGATTCTGTTAACATACCTTTTATACAGAACAGCTAGGTGGCGTAATGGTGTGACATTCCTACTTTGAACAGGCAGTGTAAAAGGTACGAAAGAGTCATTAGGATTAATATGAGAATCTAACAGCAGGAGAGTTTTTCCAAAGTTCTCCTGTAGTTGGGCCGGTTTAGCCCAAAATAGGTGTGACTACCTTTGTTCTTGACCGTTTTGTGTGTCCCTTGACCCGTACATATGTTATTTTACATATTGCATTAATATTGTTTTATGTATATGCAGGCATTTCTTGCTTCCTTTTCATTTGGCTGCTGCTGGTAGTGATAATTAGGCCCACTGAAGAGCATTGAGTGTCTGCCGTGTTAGAGTCCATCTGTGTAGAGCCTGTGCTTTATGTAACTACATTCAATGCGCCTCTGTGCTGTCATTCTCATTTGTAAACTTGTTGTATTGTATAATTCACATTTATTTTGTAAGTCTAGTCAGTAAGGTTTGTACTTGTATTCATAGCCTGTAGTCATGGTATGAGTTGTGGGTTATATAGCTTTAAACAACTTGATTGATAATTGCTGCCTTTAGTGGGATAATTCAGCGTGGGCATCTGGCACCATTGTGGTACCACCTTGTGGCAGTGCTGTGTAGTAGTGACTTGTTAAATGGTTTGTGTTGTGTTTTTCTTACTCTGTTTTTATTCCTTCCTTTTTCAAAAACCATATACATAAACTAAAAAGTTATTCTTGTATACTATGTCAACCAACACTCAGCAATAAAGTGTTTCAACTGGAACTATTGTGGGACTATAATGAGATTTGATGCGTCACTCCAGTGGTGAATGGTGATTTTCCAGAACACGACTTTTTGAGAGGAGCCACAGTCAGCACACTACTACTTTTTTTTTTTTGCGAAGGATATGTTTTTCCACGGTCAGTTGTTTCAAATGTTTCACAAAGAAGAAGTTTGTAAGAAATGTATGTGAAAAGAGGACTTCTGTTTTTTTGTCGGTTAAACATGACATGCAAAAAACCAGCAGTTCCTCATCCAGTGAGATGGCGCCCAAGTTCAGTTTGTGGTGGCAATACCAAACATGAGGGCAAAGTTATGTAGTTGACCCCTGTGTTAGATCTCAAAAACAGAAGGATGTCAGGTGTGCAATAAAATGTTCTCCTGATCTGATGCCAAGAATCCAGAATTGTGACATTTTATCAGTGAAGTACCATTTGCAATGATGTTTTTATGGTAAAGCCAGGTTCATATCCTGCTGGGGCTGTTGGGGGTCCGAGCTACAGCAACTTCCCTCCCCCTGCAGTGGCCATGGGTCCTTATCCTGCATCCCCACACTCAGGGAGATATAGAAACCCAAGAGCTCAAAGGTATTCGGCACCACCACCCAGGTAACCCACCTGTGTATGCTGGTCCACCAGGCGTGTATCCTGTTCATCCAGCACACGAGTTGGGGCTTCAATAACCAATCAATCTGTACTCCACCCTTTGCCTACTGCGCCAATGCTTCAACCACTTCTCTATCCCCCAGAGATCTACACATTCCCTCCTCCACCCTTTCACATATCCCTAACTGCTCCTACATACAGCCTGCTGCCTTCTGCACCAATGATGAACACAGACTTTGTCTCAACTGGATGAAGCTCCTCCAGCACTCATACCAATTAAATTTCTTGATATTAACACATTGGAAATAGTACAGAACTTACACATAAGAGCCCATTAACTCACTGTTTTTACCAAACAATCCCCTTAAACTTGTGCAAATCTGAAGAGCCTTTTGTGCATTCTGCTGTTGTGTTATCTGGATTGTTCTCCTCACACAAAACAAAAATAGGATGTTTTCTAATGACATCAAGCTCCGAGCAGATCCACGCCTAGATGTAGGAGGCAGCTAACAGTTATCAGTCAGGACTATTAGTAAGCCAATCCCTCTTGCCGTGTAGCCACATATGGGGGAAACACAGTGCTGATACATCTAAAATGTCTCCGATAAAGGACCTGCATCTCGTCTATGAATATCTAAATGAAGATGGGACATTTTCTGAAGGAGATACTATCACAGGCACAGTCAGTTTTACTGTGACAGAAGCAACCAAAGTGAAGGGGCTGATGGTGAAAGCAAAAGGAGATGTGAATGTGCACTGGACACGTGGCTCTGGGGATAGCGAGGAATCGTACAGTGCGCACAAGAGATACTTTAAAGTCAAAGAGTACCTGATTGCAGAAACTGGTAGGGCAAATACATGCATGATGTACTTGTCTACCTTAACACTTGAACATAATTTGTTATTTTAAAATATTAGCTGTTAGTTTTAGGATGGCTGTACACAGCCTACCTTGTACTGTAAGTTACAGCTATACTGTGCCCGTATTGCTTTTAATATGGGTACCTGAGGATGTTTACACTGTCTGCTTGTCCATCAAATCCATTATTTCTTTAGATATGCTGTTTCACAAATATATAATCTGCTAATAGTTTTTAAAACACCTAAAATACATCATGAATAAATGTTATCTACTTGTGTATCGTAGATTATGGTCTATACCTTGTACATGTCCACACACATTCTGAACTGCATAGATTTTTCCATTACAGCTTGACTTCCCAGAACTACATGAGCCTCACAGTCTCATTGAGCACACACCACAAAGTAGCCTACATGAATCCAGCTCTGTCATTTGTAAAGTCTCTACAGAAAGTGTCATTCATTCTCACTTTTTTGCAGGTACTGATCTCCCCAAAGGAGACCATCGCTTTTCGTTTCGTCTTCAAATCCCACAGGGGTAAGTGGGAATTTCTAGCATCTAGCATTTGTACTATGGCATTGTTTGCTAATACAAATAATACTGCATTCACGGACTGGTTCTGCTTTACAGGGACATGCCGTCATCCTTCAAGGGGATTCATGGTAAAATTGTTTATATCCTTGAAGCAAAGATGTCCAGGAGCTGGCGGTGGCCCACTACAGTAAAAGAAGAGCTCAAATTTGTTTCAAAAAATCTTCTGCATCTTGGCCAGGTAATGGTAAGTGGGACACTACAATGAAACATGTTGTGAAAGTGACATGTTATTTACATTTTCCAAATTAACTTTAATATTATAATGGGAAAATAGTTAAGATAAGAAGTCACACGACTTAGGAGCCAGTTGGCTTAGACAGAGGTAAATAAAGGGGTTCAGGGAAAAGCAACAATAAAGAGTTAATTTTATTGTTGCCTTTTATTTATTCAGAGTCTGAATTTAGTTTAATGAAATTTGTTGTGGAGAAAGTTCTAACATTATAGCAGTGTAAATATGATATGGAGAAAGCAGGCAACAGGACCTTCTGTAATAGATATTATACAATATGAAGTGTAATATGTAATAACAAACAGAAAGCCAGTTGTTTCAATAAACAGGAAATGGAGCCATTTCCACTAAAAGGAGTGAAGCTGGGAGTGAGGTGAGTGGTGTTACTGATCTGACCTAATGGCCCATTAGAGAATCATTAGAGAGCATACAGACATACAAGTATTGCTCATCCCCATCTTAAACCTTTCAAGATGCCAGTATTTCTTCTGAACTTTGAATTTCAGCTGTGTGAGGTATTACGCCGATATGAAATAATGCTGGTTTGTATGATTTGTTCTAGTGTCCCCAGTCTGGTTCAGTGGACAAAGAGACGGGGGTTTTCTCCAAAAGATTGGTCCAAATGTCTGCTACCGTTGACAGGAAGTTCTGCTCTCCAGGTAAAGGCACTCTGGCTCACATGGAACACAACCAAGTGTCAATGTGAAAACAAAAAGTAATGATTTCCAAATCCTTTCTGATCTATATTTAGTTAAATACAGTACAAAAACAAGATATATAATGTTCTAGAAGAGGAAGAATTTTCAACTTTTCCACTCTGTTGTCATACACAGACAGGCCTGAAATACACACACATGCACAAACAGGATGCATTAAATGCAGAGATGTCAGAGTAAAGGGGCAGGCCATGGACAGGCGCCCTGAGCAGTTGGGGGGCACTCTCTAGTCCATAGCCATTGAGTACAGCATACCATACCATGACTTAGTCATACCAAAAATTAGAAAGAAACAGCAACATTCAGCCACAGGGGGAGCCACAGCGATCAGTCACATTTTAGCCATTTTTAAGCATTTTTCTGTTGTTATAGCGCCACCCAGTTGCCAATTAGAGTTAAATTTCTCCAGTCACCTCTACATATCTACCAAGTTTAGTAAGAAACGATATGGCGGTTAGGCCTAGATAAGAAATTAGCTCTCTAGTGCCCCCATTTTGTTTGATGGGGTCAATAATGGAGGGGTCCCCTCAGATCATGTGTGGTCATATGCCTACAAAGTTGCGTGGTGATCGGTGAAACTCTTGAGATGTTATACACCTTTATGTGATGAGCCACGCCCTCCACAATATTCATTGCTATTAACTAGAGGGAACTTTAGATACTGGTCCTTAGATTATGTTCACCGAGTTTCATGCAGATTGGTCAAACTTCCTAGGAAGAGATCGATTTCAAGTGTTTTTCAAAAAATTCAAAATGGTGGGAAATCTATATAACCGGAAGTTATGGGTTCTTGAGGCAAATTTGTTCCTCATGAGGAGAGGCATCTCCGTGCAAAGTTTCATGTCTCTACGACATATGGGGCATGAGATATGTCCATTCAAAGTTTGCAATTTCAATCGGTTGATATAGCGCCCCCTTTGGCCAACTGATGTAACATTGCTTCATTCGCATCCTCCCATGACCCTCTACCACTGTGCCAAATTTCACATGGATTGACCAAGTCAGTGAGGAGAAAAACGTGGAACAGACACACCCACAGACAGAGTTTTCTGTTATGGTTTGTTCAAAGCCTGGACCCAAATGCACGACTCAGATAAACAGTGAATAACAAGTCTTTAATGTTCAATGTGCTGGCAAGTGCAAGGGGGAGGGGTGGTGCGTAGTTCCAGGATCCAGACGTGGTGAGGAGGGTGTGTTTCTGCAGACCTGGAGGCTGCAGATTCAGACCTGCAGATCTGGACCCGCAGTTCTGGACACCTTGTATTTCGCGACAGCGCCCTCTATTTCATTGGAAGCCAACATACTATTACAACTATTGAATATGGCCGACGACGATCCGAATGTGAATCATATTATTTGTTTAAACTATTTTGTTGACTTGAATTAGAGAGCGAACTTCATGTTTTACAGTGATACGTTTAAAATGATATGACTGTCTTTACCACGATAGTCTGAAAGGCACGTCAAATATGGGTTAAAGTAGTAGGTAATAGTTTAGCTTGTTAGCAATGAACTGTTTGACCTGCACATTTTGTTTCATGAAACCGAAGCGCGATGACGAATAATTTTAGCATGTGCTTTAAATTAAACATGAATAAATGATTAAAGCAATGAAGTGGATGATATGAGAAAAACGTGTATAGGCTTACGTTTTCATACAAGCATGAAACTGTTTACATATTGGCAATTAGTGTACTTTATGCTAAAAGTTAATTTTGTATTCATGTTTATCATGTAATACACCTACACACGTTTTTCCTTTATTATTCATAATATTATATATCACGTGTGTTTATATCACTACATTGATATTACTCTATAGCATATATTTAGAGATTTTGTGGATAGAAATTAAGCTCATCCAGCGCAGATGATCAGAAATGTATTTTTGTCTATTATTAGGTTTTGGCCTTGTTTATGTGTGTAAAACGGTTGAAAAATCTTAACTTTGAATAATTAGGGACTCTCTTTTTAAGGTGCACATAACAATCCAGAAAGGGGAAACCACAGTGAAGTGGAGGAGTTTTGTGGAGGATCGAAAGGCAGATGAGGAAGGAAGGGGCACTATTGTTAATATGTCGATATAATAATGTATTTGCTATGCTCCAGAATCTTCAGTATTTCAGTGTAGACTGTGATAGGTATTTAATTTTTTTTAAGTGTTTCTGTTTTCAATTTTGTGATATGTTTGATTTCTTTTTTTTTTCTGCAGATCTCCCTGATGTGTGATGTAACCACTGCACACAATAAAACATTTCAAACCATTTCAGTATTTCACAGCCTTTGTTTCAAATTCCCACAACAAAAGTGAGCACTGGACACCCAAGACCAGACATTTCCTATTATATGTTGTAGCGGGTTTGATCAATGCAGTGCAAGTTTTTGGCGTGCTAGTCAGAGCAGTCTGATGAATATTAAGAAATAAAGAACTAAAATAGTTGGATCAAACCATACAGAACAACCAGCAAACAATAATGATGCAGAACAGCACCCAGGCATAAATCAACAATTAAATCTTGGTATTTTTATTCGGGTGTAATAAAATTTTAAAATTGTAAATTGTAATAAAGCATTAAAAGTCCTACTTCTTTCAAACAGTGGTGTTTGGGTGAGACTGATTTAGTTGCAGTTATACAGCCGTCCAGTAGGGGACAAAAAACAAGGGGTCTAGAACTGCGGGTCCAGAATTGCGGGTCTGAATCTGCAGTCTCCGGGTCTGCAGAGACATACTATTGGGGGACGTGGCTCGTGAAACCACCAGTGCGGGGAAGAGTGAGAGTGTCTTTGATGTGGCGTCCGCCACGTGGTAATGGCGGTGCTGCGGCACGGCGCAGTAGTGTCCGTCTCTCGAGCGTACTCACTCTGAAGGGAAACACAGGAAAGCAGGCGACGGGCAGGCCGGTCCACAGGCAGGCAGAGAAGACGCACACACGAGATCACGAGGCAAGCACGGCAATCTGAGTTGAGGTGGAAGGAACACAGAGGTATTAGCTACACAAGCTAATAATAAGGCACAACGGCAAAAACACAGAGGAGCCAGGATGCAAACTACCACGTAGACTGATGAAACGATCTGGCGCCGTGTAGGAGGGAATCCAGAGGCTTTATGGAGTAGTCTGGGGCCATTAGTGGCCGTTTTGGTAAGGAAACAGAACCAGGGCGAGTGAGACAGGATCTGGAATTCGATGGATGTGCCTTTCCGTAAAAATAAAAGCACCAAGCTAATAAAAATGCAGTGAAACTTTTAATTTAAAGAATATAATTTACAAGAAAAGCCCCAAGCCATTAAGTTAATCGATTTTCTTACACCTCTCATCACCCCAAATCGATGGTGCGCCAGAATTTAAAGTTTTACTATGGTGAACACTTTTAGTTTGGTGAATTTGGTGAATACCGCATCCGCTCCCTAGACCGGAACCAGAATCCAGACAAAATTCAGAGTGAATAGACACCAGCCTGGTGACGCGAGGCTATTATGGAGAGATTGATTACTGAAGTGAATTCACCTGCCGCTGCCTGTGGAAGGAGACCACGCCCACATGCACACACACACAACAGACAGGGGGAGAGACACAGGAGGAATAATACAGACTGGGAATGACAACACACACACACATAAGGGAGAAGGAAGGGCTGCCATGATGAGGATCATGACATTTTTATCATTATATAGGAAGATTATGAAATTAATGCCTGCAGTACCTCCCAAAACAGTTGGGAAAGGGGCAACAAAAGACCGGGAAAGTTGTCGAAAGCTCAAAAACACCTATTATGAACATTCCACAGGTAAACAGGTTAACTGATAGATCATTGGGTATCAACTCTGTCCAAACTTTAAGGAACATGTTGCAGACGTCAAACTCAGAATGAGTGTATATTTACAAAACAAAATAAAGTTGATCAGTTTGAACATTAAACATCTTGTCTTTGTACTGTATTCAATTGATTTGAGGTTGATAAGGATTTACAAATTATTGCATTCTTTTGTCATTTATGTTTTACACAGCATCCGAGCTTTTTCAGAATTGGGGTTGTATGAATATGCTCTAATGGCAAGTTTGTACATCACTTAGATTGTATGTATAGGCCTTTGTGTTAAATATAATATTTTCCCTGTATGGTGACATTATTCTAGAAGAAAAAGAGTATATTTAGATGTAATGATTTTTTTTTTTGATAGGTGACACAATATCTATTGTTGCCCAAATCAGCAACTCCTCTTCCAAAGAAATGAAGCCCAAATTCAGTTTAAATCAGAAGGTAGTGTACCATGCCAGTGGCTCCACTCAAACTGATGACCAATGTCTGTGCAAAATAATCGGAGAGGTTATCACAGAGAAGTCAGAGAGAACTGTGACCTGCCAAATGGAGATTCCTCCTGATGTCCTCTACGCTCTCCATAACTGTGAACATATCTCAGTTGAACATTACCTCAAGGTACGTAATAATGTTATAGTGACGTTACATCAACTCAGAACTGAAGTAAATGCAAATATTGGCACTTAAGTAATTGTAACACGGATGATTATTGTCTTACATTACCTTTATCAGAATGCACGATCAACGTGATAGTTTCATAAATGTTAGTCTGATTCAAATCATCTCTGTGTTATGTCCTGTCTGCTGGTAAAGGTTATATTTTCTTGTTTTGAGGTCCTGGTCATTACTATTTTGTTTCGTATACTCACCTTTTGCCTGACTGATTGTTTGCACCACCTTGATTAGCTGAACCTGTCCCTTATTGGTAGACAGATTTTACTTCTTGAAATGTGTGTGTTTCACAGGTGTATTTGGACATCAGTTTTGCCTCTGACCCAGAGGTGGTGTTTCCACTGGGCATCGTTCCTTCTAGCATGGTCTCCCTTCAGCCTGATGAGGCTGCGGGGCCTTACTCAGCATGGGGTGCTGGAGCCCCAAGTTACAGCTACTTCCCTCCCCCTGCCGTCCCTATGTGACCTTGTCCTATATCCCCTGGCTCAGGTGCTTATGGATACCCGGCACCAGATCCCACTCAACATGCAAGAGATAGATAGTTAAGTAGAGCATTGTATCAGTCACAGTGGGAAATTTTACTGTTACAGCAGCTCAGAGTGTTGCAACAAAATATAGCCTACAATATTTACCAACAATATACAATACTTGTAATACTTCTGTAGTTATAAGCGACTGTAATAATCAGTGTCCACAACAGGCTGCTCCATATACTTTCTCAACTGCAGTTTCATCTTCATCAAGCCCCTACTGCTCCACCTCTGCTTCAACAAAAGTATTAACAAATGTGAAACTGTGTTGTTGTTTTTTACAGTTATGGATGAAAAATGATGTGTTTGTACCCCTTATTCATTTCACTGTAGGGTGGAAAATTGTTAAATTTAGTTCAGTGAAAACATATTTTCATTTGGTTCCTTGTTTTCATTAAAGATCTTTGCTAATTCGGGCAATGCCCTTAAACTCAACTAGTTTTCCTCAATATCAGGGATGTGAAACTTATTTTAGTTCATGGGCCACATACAGCCCAATTTGATCTCAAGTGGCCCGGACCAGTGAAACCATTGCATAATAACCTATAGATAACAACCTCTTCAAATGTTTCCCTTTTTCAGTGTAAAAATTCTGAACGTTCATCTATTTACAAAAGAAATGATGAAGAGCCCATGATATCATCGGAAAAATTATGTGAAAATTCAACAGTATGTCTCAGATTTTTCAGATTTAGTCAGTCTTTACTCACTTTCATTCCATGTGCTTTTTTCCCCAGAATTTTGCACTTTAGTGGAAGCTATTGAAGAAGCAGATTAAGTCATGCCCTGCCTTACAAACCCCATATTGTTTTAAGTTATAAGTCTGATACAGATTATTTTGTACTGAAGTTGCTGCAATATTTTGCATGTTCAATATCTAAAAATGTGACCACAGTATATTCATTGGTATCTCAGAGAGCTGTATTCTTGGTGGGATGGAAAAGCCTCTTACATGAAGTATCTTTTACATGAAGTAGCTACTCATTATTTAACTGTTTCTGAAACCTCTTAGGCCCTGATCACACAGGACATGTTTGCAGGCTGCAAAACATGAGGTGCGCTGCAATGCATTTTTTTTTTTTAAACCAATGCCACTAGTAAAAGAAAACGTCTGCTCCGCCTTTTTATTGTTTCCAGGCAACCACCCCATCACCTCCTAACATTCTCGTGTAATCAATTTATTTCATTCATTTGACAGTAATTATTATCTATACCCTAAAATGTTCAGGCAGAGGTCTGGTTGAGGGTGAGAGGCTGTCAGTTAATAGTTTGTTGGGTGCATGGAAACAGAGATCTGTGTGGGTAGCCTAAATGAGACCCTAAAAAAGAGGGTGGATCACGGGGAGTACCACCAGTTGGTCCAGGAGCTTCTCCTCCATGATGGCCGTTTCCAGGCATATTTTAGGATGACTCATGGGCAGTTTGACAACCTGCCGTCTATCGTCGGGCTGTATAGCTCTGGGTATCCAGCAACCGCTACCACCAGTTTCTCCTCCATTTTTTTGCCAGCTTTAAACTTGTTGTCATGACAACCACAGAAGGCCTGCGTCTATGGTATGGTAAAGCCAGGTCCATATCCTGCTGGGGCTGTTGGTGGTCTGAGCTGCAGCAACTTCCCTCCCCCTGCATTGTCCATGGGTCCTTATCCTGCATTCCCACACTCAGGGAGTTATAGAAGCCCAAGAGCCCAAAAGCATTCAGCACCACCTTCTGTGTACCCAGGTAACCCACCTGTGTATGCTGGTCCACCAGGCGTGTATCCTGTTCATCCAGCACACATGAGTTGGGGCTTCAATAACCAATCAATCTGTACTCCACCCTTTGCCAACTGCTCCAATACTTAAAAAAAATAAAAAAACCACAGAGATCTACACATTCCGTCCTCCACCCTTTCACATATCCCTAACTGCTCCTACATACAGCCTGCTGCCTTCTGCACCAATGATGAACACAGACTTTGTCTCAACTGGATGAAGCTCCTCCAGCACTCATACCAGTTAAATTTCTTGATATTAACACATTGGAAATAGTACAGTATTTACACATAAGATCCAATTAACTCACTGTTTTTACCAAACAATCCCCTTAAATTTGTGCAAATCTGAAGAGCCTTTTTTGTGCATTCTGCTGTTGTGCTATCTGGATTGTTCTCCTCACACAAAACAAAAATAGAATGTTTTCTAATGACCTCAAGCTCAGAGCAGAGCAGAGCAGAGCAGAGCCGCGCCTAGTTGTGGGAGGCAGCTAACAGTTATCAGTCAGGACTATTAGTAAGCCAATCCCTCTTGCCGTGTAGCCACATATGGGGGAAACACAGTGCTGATACATCTAAAATGTCTCCGATAAAGGACCTGCATCTCGTCTATGAATATCTAAATGAAGATGGGACATTTTCTGAAGGAGATACTATCACAGGCACAGTCAGTTTTACTGTGACAGAAGCAACCAAAGTGAAGGGGCTGATGGTGAAAGCAAAAGGAGATGTGAATGTGCACTGGACACGTGGCTCTGGGGATAGCAAGAAATCATACAGTGCGCACGAGAGATACTTCAAAGTCAAAGAGTACCTGATTGCAGAAACTGGTAGGGCAAATACATGCATGATGTACTTGTCTACCTTAACACTTGAACATAATTTGTTATTTTAAAATATTAGCTGTTAGTTTTAGGATGGCTGTACACAGCCTACCTTGTACTGTAAGTTACAGCTATACTGTGCCCGTATTGCTTTTAATATGGGTACCTGAGGATGTTTACACTGTCTGCTTGTCCATCAAATCCATTATTTCTTTAGATATGCTGTTTCACAAATATATAATCTGCAAATAGTTTTTAAAACACCTAAAATACATCATGAATAAATGTTATCTACTTGTGTATCGTAGATTATGGTCTATACCTTGTACATGTCCACACACATTCTGAACTGCATAGATTTTTCCATTACAGCTTGACTTCCCAGAACTACATGAGCCTCACAGTCTCATTGAGCACACACCACAAAGTAGCATACATGAATCCAGCTCTGTCATTTGTAAAGTCTCTACAGAAAGTGTCATTCATTCTCACTTTTTTGCAGGTACTGATCTCCCCAAAGGAGACCATCGCTTTTCGTTTCATCTTCAAATCCCACAGGGGTAAGTAAGAATTTCTAGCATCTAGCATTTGTACTATGGCATTGTTTGCTAATACAAATAATACTGCATTCACGGACTGGTTCTGCTTTACAGGGACATGCCGTCATCCTTCAAGGGGATTCATGGTAAAATTGTTTATATCCTTGAAGCAAAGATGTCCAGGAGCTGGCGGTGGCCCACTACAGTAAAAGAAGAGCTCAAATTTGTTTCAAAAAATCTTCTGCATCTTGGCCAGGTAATGGTAAGTGGGACACTACAATGAAACATGTTGTGAAAGTGACATGTTATTTACATTTTCCAAATTAACTTTAATATTATAATGGGAAAATAGTTAAGATAAGAAGTCACACGACTTAGGAGACAGTTGGCTTAGACAGAGGTAAATAAAGGGGTTCAGGGAAAAGCAACAATAAAGAGTTAATTTTATTGTTGCCTTTTATTTATTCAGAGTCTGAATTTAGTTTAATGAAATTTGTTGTGGAGAAAGTTCTAACATTATAGCAGTGTAAATATGATATGGAGAAAGCAGGCAACAGGACCTTCTGTAATAGATATTATACAATATGAAGTGTAATATGTTGAACAACAGAAAGCCAGTTGTTTCAATAAACAGGAAATGGAGCCATTTCCACAAAAAGGAGTGAAGCTGGGAGTGAGGTGAGTGGTGTTACTGATCTGACCTAATGGCCCATTAGAGAATCATTAGAGAGCATACAGACATACAAGTATTGCTCATCCCCATCTTAAACCTTTCAAGATGCCAGTATTTCTTCTGAACTTTGAATTTCAGCTGTGTGAGGTATTACGCCGATATGAAATAATGCTGGTTTGTATGATTTGTTCTAGTGTCCCCAGTCTGGTTCAGTGGACAAAGAGACGGGGGTTTTCTCCAAAAGATTGGTCCAAATGTCTGCTACAGTTGACAGGAAGTTCTGCTCTCCAGGTAAAGGCACTCTGGCTCACATGGAACACAACCAAGTGTCAATGTGAAAACAAAAAGTAATGATTTCCAAATCCTTTCTGATCTATATTTAGTTAAATACAGTACAAAAACAAGATATATAATGTTCTAGAAGAGGAAGAATTTTCAACTTTTCCACTCTGTTGTCATACACAGACAGGCCTGAAATACACACACATGCACAAACAGGATGCATTAAATGCAGAGATGTCAGAGTAAAGGGGCAGGCCATGGACAGGCGCCCTGAGCAGTTGGGGGGCACTCTCTAGTCCATAGCCATTGAGTACAGCATACCATACCATGACTTAGTCATACCAAAAATTAGAAAGAAACAGCAACATTCAGCCACAGGGGGAGCCACAGCGATCAGTCACATTTTAGCCATTTTTAAGCATTTTTCTGTTGTTATAGCGCCACCCAGTTGCCAATTAGAGTTAAATTTCTCCAGTCACCTCTACATATCTACCAAGTTTAGTAAGAAACGATATGGCGGTTAGGCCTAGATAAGAAATTAGCTCTCTAGTGCCCCCATTTTGTTTGATGGGGTCAATAATGGAGGGGTCCCCTCAGATCATGTGTGGTCATATGCCTACAAAGTTGCGTGGTGATCGGTGAAACTCTTGAGATGTTATACACCTTTATGTGATGAGCCACGCCCNGTCCGCACAGGGACTTGAACTAGCAGCCCTCCAGTTCCCAACCCAAGTCCGTATGGACAAGCTTAATTGATTTTTATAAATATACACTCACTAGTCCATACCCATTGAGTACAGCATACCATACCATGACTTAGTCATATCAAAAATTAGAAAGAAAAAAAAAACATTCGGCCACAGGGGGAGCCACAGCGATCAGTCACATTTTAGCCATTTTTAACCCTTTGATGCACAACGCACACCAATTCTAATGCACAACATGGGTCAAAAACGACCCATATCCATTTCCCATGTTATTTCATGCTGGCTAAGTGTTTCTTTGCTCTATCTTTTGAAATGAAATTATTTTATGATTGAATATTCCAAGTATTCTTTAAATATCTTGTTTTTGATTACAACAGATCATTATTTCCATTTTTCTTTTCATGCTTTATGAACAAATATAGTTTTTGTATTACTACATCAAGTTTACACACAGATCAAAAATGACCCATTCGTCCAAGTGTGATTTAAAATTAAATGACTTAATACTATAATAATTATTTGTTTAAAATAATTACTTTAGCAGTGAGTGGGGCCAAACACTCATACAATATTTGCAACATGTTTATTTATCATTTTGTCACATACACATACCTCTGATAACAGATAACATGGCTATGTAGAGACAGAAATGACATGCCATGGTGTAAATAAGATAAATGACATAGGGCTACTGAGTTTGTTTAATAAAAGGACAAGTTATAGACATGTTCTATAGGAAAGGAAACCTTAAATGACTTCTGTTGTGATCTGGTGCTATATAGAAAATAAAATTAAATAAAATTAACTTGACCTTCAAGGGGGGGTGGGGGTGGTTCATTCTAGAACATGCGCTTCAACTAGAACTAGTAGCAGCAAAGTCTGGTAGCTCTGCAATTTTACTTAGTTTTACTGAATTTTTATTATATGTTTCTCAACTACTAATGGATACTTCTGTGAAGAGAAGAGTTTATTCAAGAGAGGAGCTTTTTTCGTTGAAACGGAGCAAGTCTGGAGGACACCATCCTATTAAGTTAGTTATCTAACTACTTGGCTAAGTAGTTAGTTTAGCTAACTATTGTAGTAGCTAAACTAACTACTTAGCCAAGTAGTTAGTTTAGCTAACTACAATAGTTAGCTAACTATAAAGAACTAAAATAGAATATGTCAACAGCTAGCTAGCTAACAGTAATTACTTACAAGTAATGTACTCACTCTCAAGGTAACCTAAACCTAATCAAATATAATGTACAACTATATTTCACAATTATCATCAAATATTTTCTTAGGGTAATGTTTGAACAATTGTAAAACAAGACTAACATGTATCAGATGTGCAAAGGGAGCTGTGCTGAGCTGAGCTGATAGTTGTCCGAGGAAAGTATGTTCCTACTTGCAAACAAACAACTTTCACAGGTTCCCGCCAAATGCTCATGTGTGCAAACTTGATGTAGAAATACAAAAGCTGTGCTTGTTCATAAAATACGAAAGGAAAAAATAGAAATGATGATTTGTGCTAAACAAAAGCAAGATATTTATTGATTACTTGGAATAATAAATGATAAAATACATTTATTTCAAAGATATATCATAGAGACACTCAGCCATACATGAAATAACATAGAAAATGGATATGGGTCATTTTAGACCCATGTTGTGCATTAGAAGGGTAGTGATACAAAAAGGGTTTTTATTCAAAAAGTAAGAAAGGAAAACATAAAATAAGGATGTATAATGATCAAGTTAATTGAGGAAAACCTGGAATACTGAATGATGAAATTAATGTATTGCAAAGATATAGAACATAAAAACTCAGTCGGGTCACTTTAGACCCATGTTGTGCATCAAATGGTTAAGCATTTTTCTGTTGTTATAGCACCACCCAGTTGCCAATTAGAGTTAAATTTCTCCAGTCACCTTGAGGCGTCCTGTTCTACATATCTATCAAGTTTAGTAAAAATCCATAAGGCGATTAGGCCTACATAAGAAATTAGCTCTCTAGCGCCCCCATTTTGTTTGATGGGGTCAATAATGGAGGGGTCCCCTCAGATTATGTGTGGTCATATGCCTACAAAGTTGCTAGTGATCGGTGAAACCCTTGAGATGTTATACACCTTTATGTGATGAGCCACGCCCTCCGCAATATTCATTGCCTTATAGAAGCTCAGTTTTAGTAAGTTTTCCACCTTTTGCCAAGAGGGAACTTTAGATATCGGTCCCTAGATTATGTTCACCGAGTTTCATGCAGATCGGTCAAACTTCCTAGGAAGAGATCGATTTTATGTGTTTTTCAAAAAATTCAAAATGGCGGAAAATGTATATAACCATAATTTATGGGTTCTTGAGGCACATTTGTTCCTCATGAGGAGAGGAATCTCTGTGCAAAGTTTCATGTCTCTATGACATAGGGGGCATGAGATATTCCCATTTAAAGTTTGCAATTTTAAATCGGTTGCTATAGCGCCCCCCTTTGGCCAATTGATGTAATATTGCTTCATTCGCATCCTCCCATGACCCTCTACCACTGTGCCAAATTTCACATGGATTGACCAAGTCAGTGAGGAGAAAAATGCGGAACAGACACACACACACACACACACAGAGTTTTCATCATTATATAGGAAGATGATGAAATTAATGCCTGCAGTACAAGTTTGTACATCACTTAGATTGTATGTATAGGCCTTTGTGTTAAATATAATATTTTCCCTGTATGGTGACATTATTCTAGAAGAAAAAGAGTATATTTAGATGTAATGATTTTTTTTTTTTTGATAGGTGACACAATATCTATTGTTGCCCAAATCAGCAACTCCTCTTCCAAAGAAATGAAGCCCAAATTCAGTTTAAATCAGAAGGTAGTGTACCATGCCAGTGGCTCCACTCAAACTGATGACCAATGTCTGTGCAAAATGATCGGAGAGGTTATCACAGAGAAGTCAGAGAGAACTGTGACCTGCCAAATGGAGATTCCTCCTGATGTCCTCTACGCTCTCCATAACTGTGAACATATCTCAGTTGAACATTACCTCAAGGTACGTAATAATGTTATTGTGACGTTACATCAACTCAGAACTGAAGTAAATGCAAATATTGGCACTTAAGTAATTGTAACACGGATGATTATTGTCTTACATTACCTTTATCAGATTGCACGATCAACGTGATAGTTTCATAAATGTTAGTCTGATTCAAATCATCTCTGTGTTATGTCCTGTCTGCTGGTAAAGGTTATATTTTCTCGTTTTGAGTTCCTGGTCATTACTATTTTGTTTCGTATACTCACCCGTTGTCTCGTTACAGATAAATTCACTTCCTGTCCTTTTGCCTGCCTGATTGTTTGCACCACCTTGATTAGCTGAACCTGTCCCTTATTAGTAGACAGATTTTACTTCTTGAAATGTGTGTGTTTCACAGGTGTATTTGGACATCAGTTTTGCCTTCGACCCAGAGGTGGTGTTTCCACTGGGCATCGTTCCTTCTAGCATGGCCTCCCTTCAGCCTGATGAGGCTGCGGAGCCTTACTCAGCATGGGGTGCTGGAGCCCCAGGTTACAGCTACTTCCCTCCCCCTGCAGTCCCTATGTGACCTTGTCCTATATCCCCTGGCTCAGGTGCTTATGGATACCCGGCACCAGATCCCACTCAACATGCAAGAGATAGATAGTTAAGTAGAGCATTGTATCAGATTCAGAATCAGAATCAGAAATACTTTATTGATCCCCGAGGAAAAATTATTTATGTTACAGGTGCTCCTTGCAAGAGAGGAAAGATATGTGAAAATATAAGAAATTTAAACAATAGTATTTACAAATATATAGTTAAATAAACAGGAATTATTAACAAACATAAAAGTAAATAAATACAGTCACGGTGGGAAATTTTACTGTTAAAGCAGCTCAGAGTGTTGCAACAAAATATAGCCTACAATATTTACCAACAATATACAATACTTCTGTAGTTATAAGCAACTGTAATAATCAGTGTCCACAACAGGCTGCTCCATATACTTTCTCAACTGCAGCTTCATCTTCATCAAGCCCCTACTGCTCCACCTCTGCTTTAACAAAAGTATTAACAAATGTGAAACTGTGTTCTGTGTTTGTACTAATGTTTATAACTTTTTAACAGTTATACTATAGATGAAAAATGACATGTTTGTGCCCCTTATTCATTTCACTGTAGAGTGGAAAATTGTTAGGTTTAGTATACTGAAATTATGTTTTCATTTGGTTCCTTATATTCATTAAAGATGTTTGCTCATTCATGGCAATGCCTTTAAACTCAGCTTTTCCTCTATATCAGGGGTGTCAAACTAGTTTGAGTTTGATCTCAAGTGGGTCAGACCATTGACACCATCGCATATTAACCCATGAATAACAAACCCTTTGAATGTTTCCCTTTTCAGTGTAAAGAATCTGAAAGTGTTCATCCATTTACAAAAGAAATAATGAACAGTCTGCAATATCCTCTAAAAATTATGTGCAAATTCAACAGTATGTCTCAGATTTTCCACATTCACTCAGTCTTCTACTCACTTTCATTACATGTGCATCATTTTCAGAATTTCCCACTTAATTGGAAGCTGTTGAAGAAGCAGGTTAAGTCTTCCCCTGCCTTACAAACCATTTACAATCTGAAGTTATGTCAGTGCCTCAGCAGCAGGGCTCCACCCCTATTGTTTTAAGATAGAGGTCTGATACAGATTCTTTTGTACTGATGCTGCTGGTTGACAATATTTTGCACAATGTTCAATATCTTAAAATATGACCACAGTAAGTATTCATTATTATTTCAGAAATCTGTGTTCTGGTCGGGATGGAAAAGCCTCTGAGGCAGCATTTTACATGAAGTATCTACTCATTATTTAGCTGTTGCTGAAACCTTGTAGGCCCTGATCACACAGGCCATGTTTGCAGGCTGCAAAACATATATTTGAGGACGACTCGGGGCAGGGGCAGTTTGACAACCTGCTGTCTATCGTCAGGCTGTATAGCTCCGTGTTTCCAGCAACCGCTACCACCAGTTTCTCCTCCATTTTTTAACAGCTTTAAACTTGTTGTCATGACAACCACAGAAGGCCCGCCTCTGGAATCATCAGATTGGACAATGGGGAAAAGGTGGAGATGACATGGGGCGTTTTCTGCTCTGAATTGAAGTTTTTTCAGTTCTAGTTCAGAGTGCTCTGGCAAAACTGCCAGGTGCTTAGAATGCAGAGATGCAAAAGCAAAGCAAGCAAAAAGCTTCATTCTCATTCAAATCAATTACAAAATGGCGCCCCCAACTGCTCAAATGTGTCCTGTGTGTTTAGGGCCTAAGCCTTCTCATGTGCATCAACATCAGGTGTGCACAGTCATCTAGAGGGCTGGATTGGACCCTTTGGTAGGCCAGTTCTGGCCCCCGGCCCATATGTTTGACACTCCTGCTCTATATGCAAGCTTTAAATTGATCAAGGTGCAAACCAAGGAGTATGGCTTTTGGTGCTTTACAGAAAAGTTACTGTAAGAGTTGCATGCAGCAAGGGAACTGTGTTTAATATTGAAATAAAACTGAATGCTGTTTGAAGATAAAGTTTGAATAATGAAGTCCACTGAATGTTTATTTTGATCCAGGCCTTTCACATGCTTTGTGGTGCATCATGACAGAGAAAAACATCATGTGACCACGCAGGCCCCAAAAGCTGTCCCATTCCTCACAGTAACGAGTGGACAGTCCTATTCAGCTCGGAGCACTGTTTTCTCCTTATAACAGATTTATGCTCTTTAAATCTAATTGGTAGTCCATGGAGTTGTAGCACACACTGGTTGTAAACACATTTTCTTGCCTGCCACAGTGTGTCTGAGGTGTGTTGGAAAACAGAGTAATAAAAGACAAAACAGCAAACAGTAAACAAACCAACACTGGTGTAGAAGTAGTAATAGAAAACAACCAGAGTTATCCATAATATTAAGAAACTGGTTTGAAGCCACACTTTGGGGATTATGCATACCCCCCTGAAGAGTTATGAGGAGGAATGCATGGGTCCACCATTCATCTATCCAAGTGATGGATGCACAGAGAGAGGCTGCATAACGTTTTATTCCCACCCACTTGCACTTGCCACTGAATAGAAACAGGCTGTATTGTCACGGGAGACTCCAAACAGTCTGCGCCTGTCATCGCCATCGCCATGGGAAGAAGGCTCCCGTGTGTCTACTTGCTTGTCTTCGTCATTTTCCAAGGTAAGAAAGATAAAGTTGTTGCAGCTGGTTGGCAAATATAACTGCAGCTTTTATTGCAGATGCTCGGTGTCAAAATTGAGAACGCAGCGTTTCTCGAAGCCAAGAAAATGTCAGTGTTTCTGCACAAGCTGTACAAATAGTTGCAGTACTGTTCGTCGTATCTTAAAGTTAGGCGAAAGACAGTCTCAAGTCTAAGCTGAAGTTAGTTAACTATGTCCCATTAATATTTCATCATGATAATTTTGGTTAGTTAGCCAACGCTGCACATAACGCGGAGTTTACGCAAACGTTACACAAACACATTGAACAAAAATTGTGTTTCGATAAAGATAAATAACTATTTTCTTCTTCAGTTGTACGCCGAATGGAGCTAAAAATTACCAGACACTAATTAGTCAAACATTTGGAGTTATATTTTATGGCACGTGTTTGTCAAGAAGCAAAGAAAGTTAAAATGAGCATTTCTTAAAGGGAATCTGACTTTACATTTCCCTCAGACTCCAATATTTCTCCAGTATCTAAGAAACAGCCATTTGTACACATTGAAAACTCACCACTATCTTATCCCACTTTTACTCTTTGGTGACTATTATGTGTTAACTTTTAAAATATTGCAATATTATAAATTAAGCCATACTCTTCTGACTTGCATGATTTTTTCATAAATTTGAGTTTAAAACACAACTTAATTTTGTTTATATCTTTATACTTTGCTTCCTCCATAAATAACAACAATGGCTGAGAGGTTTGTAAAAATGATTCAAGCATGGTCAATTATAATTATTATTTTTTCTATGTCCCTTTGCAGAGGCACCTGGCTTCAAGATCCAGAACAAGCTGCTTGGAAAATGTCTGCAGGTGCAGGAAGGAACTTCAGGGAGAAGAGTATCTCTAGGTGATTGCAGCCCACATTTGGCCTTACAGGAATGGCGTTGGCACCCAGAGAGCCATGCTCTCAGAAATCACCACACCAAGGAGTGTCTGACGGCACCAGGAGAGCAGTACGAAGGTGTCCACATGCAGCCCTGCCTCTCTCAGGCTGAAAGTGAGGAGACTGGTGCCAGAGTGGCAGCGATGGATATGGGCAGTGAGGCAAGTGGCCAAGCATGGTCCTGTTCCAAGAAAGGTCACCTCACTTTGACAGGGAGGGGTCTGCACCTGAGTGCTACACAAGAATCCACTTTGGTCTTCCTTTCGAGGGAACATAAGCAGGTAAAAATATTTTAAGTAAGTTTTAAGAAAAGGTCCTTCTTCATGTGACATAACATCTGTAGAATAGTATCACTTAGTTAAAGTGAGTCTGTTAAATGTCTAATGTTCTTTTGGTTACCATTTTTACAAGCCTGGCAGCAGGTGGCGGGCTCTTGACAACCAGACACTGTGCAATAGGAGAGACAACAAACATCACCAACACCAACCTCACCACAATCTGGGGAAGATGTTGGAGCCTGGAGTTTTTCCAAGTACTGTTGCCGATATACGCAGACAGGCTGAACCATGTAAGGAACTAAAAGTATCTCACCATTAGAAGCTTACTAAATATTGTCTTACTACAGTATGTGAATCTAACGAAATCAACATAAAGTTTCTTAAAGGACTCATCAGTGTCTTTGTCTAGTTTAAACCTCCTTTAATTACGACATCTATCAGCAGCAATGTACACACATGACATCATTGCTAACCTTTCTTTTTTAAAATCATATATAAAATCATTTTTTTAGAATGTTTGCCACTCTCTGGACAAGGCATGTCTGTGCATTTTAAATGTTTATTTGCAGATTTGGGAGTGACTACCAGGTGTAATCCTTTTTATAAAATAGTGCATCATGTTGTTCTTTATTATTTGTTTATTTTTGTTAATGTTACAGTGCATTATTAGAAAAAATAAATAACAGTAGATTATTGCTTTGTTGTCCTGCAGTTGGAAGCAGTGACCATTATTAAAACTCTCCTCAAAGGTGAGTTCAATGACCAGCCGACATCTAAGCATTAACACTAAAAAACATTAGACAAGCTATGTTGTCAGAAATTAAAAATCAAAACCATATCATAAACACGTAAACATGGCCATCGTGAAACAAATTCATTTGATAATTGCTCTTCAGTTGAAAAAGTTGCTGTTCAGCAACTGATTTAATGTTTTGAGTTCTTTGAATCCTTCCTCCAGTTCATGTGAAACATCCACAGATATGCAAGACAAAGTGTGCAAACAGCAAGTGATGAGAATACCTCAGTCAAGGACGTTTTGAAGCCCACAGTGAAACTCACTATTTCGTACAATGATTGGATTTAAAATTAAACGTGCAAACCATAGTTTTTGGGGCTGAAACATTCAAAAAGCACATACTGTATGCTTGTCATATCCAATATCAGTTATATCATGATGTGTTCTGCTGTGGCCTGCAGATTGCATTACAACATGCCTGCTTTTAGCCCGAGAATCCAATTCAGTCAAGTGCATTTTCCAATCAATATTTTCCTCTTCCTGGAAGGCAGCCAACT